CAACTCTCACCCCATTACCCCATGACAGGACCCACAGACACACATCCAACTCTCACCCCATTACCCCATGACAGGACCCACAGACACACAGCACCCCTCACCCCAGTGCCCCCAAGTCTGGCTCTGACAGTCTCAGTTCACCTGCTGCACTGTGAGGTCGATGCAGTGCAGAATCCTATGCAGTCGCAGGCTGATGGTCGGGATAGCTCGGCCCTCATCCTCAGGACTGGACGGCTCCTCGTTTTCCGTCAGTAACTGGCCTCTCTGCTCCGCCAGCGCCGCCTGCTCCACCTTCTCCTCCTCCCTGTGCGGCCTCTTGCGCTTGCCTGTGCTAACCTTGGGGGTGCCCCGCGGCGTGGGTTGGACACTGGAGCTGGCCGAGTCCCACGCGCAGCTTGCGCCTATCAGCTCGATGACATTGTGGGGGCTCGCTGGTTTAGCCCTAATCATTTGAACCTCCTCCATTAGAAATAAACTCTAAAGAGAGTGGTGAAAAAGGTGTAAACATGAGAGCTAGTCAAGAGAGGGCACAAGCCATAGACAGCAACAACAACACTGGGCCTGAGGTGTGAGCTGAAGACTTCCTGCAGTTCTGAGGCCCCAAGCCCCTGTGGCCTGCCCTCACACAGCTCTGTGGCAGTGCTTCTCCTGCAACTACACAACTGATTGTTCCCGTTAAGTTGTTCCAGTCCAGAGTCATTTTTAGTAACCTTACAATCACAGCCCCTCAACCTAACAGGCATCAATATTGTAAAACATGGTCATGTATAAAGTCTGCATGTCCTGCTCCTCGTAGTACATGATGCTTCTCATTTTAACTAAACACCATGTTTTTTTCAACAAACAGCTGAGGAGTTAAAAAAAAGATAAAAGTTTTTAATTAATTAAGGGCTGAAAGTGTCAGAACTTAGCTGGAAAAAAACAGATGGCGGGGTCTAAATGACAACGATTGGGACGAACCAGAATGTTTTGAAACATTAGCAAAACCTATTTGGTTTGAAAACATTTTGCCTTAATCCATATTTGCATGCAATGCACTTTATTAATTGCATTTCCCCCTTTTTTTCTGAGCAGTTGTTTAGTTCCTTAAAGTGTGATGAATCTTCAGTACTTAAAGAGACTAGAAACAACAACTCATCATATGAAGCAATGCTGGCAGTGTGACTCTCTGGCTGACCAGTCAACCCCAGTGAAAATAAGACCAGCGTGGTCTTACACTACAACAAGGAGTAGCATGATGACTCCGCACTGTACTGGAGACATTCCAAGCATTCCCTGTGTTAAGGGTTCCTTGAATAGTGCATATACTCTGCTCAGTATCCTTCTTAGTGATAAAAGTCCTTAAACAATGAAGCACTTGTAAGGAATAGTACACATCAGCAGTTCTGTAAGTTACAGAAGTTTATAGTCATGACAAAGACTGTGCATACTGTAAATAAATCCCGAAGGCTCACCTTACCCGGCGCAGAAAAGCTGAAAAGAAGAACTGCCAGGCACAGCGTGTATTTTAGAGCACTAGAATAGAAGGCTGCATCTCAGCTATGCAGCAGTTGAGTGATCTCTCACCTTAAACCGCTCCATAGCCACAGAGGCCTCAGAGAGGGACTTCACTGAGAATGGGGTGACTTTGAGAGCGAAGGTCATGGCGTTGAAGACTGTGACCACTGTGAAGGCCTGAAGGCAAGAAAAATTATCTTTAATTAAAACATGCTGAGCACCACCACTCTGTTAAAATAATCACAAAACCAGCACATCATACCCGAGTGGGTTCATCCCCACAATTTAAGCAACATTCGAAACTTGGGAGTCTTTTGAGGGATATCCACGGACTGGGGAATTGTTAAAGCAGTTCCCAACCTTAAAAATCAAGCAATTACAGAGCTAAGACAATATGGTGTATTATAAATGATAGAAATGACACTTTTAGTTTGTTTGTTTGTTTGTATCGCAATAGGAGACAGTCAACATGGATTAAAAAAAGCTCAATCTTGTTTTGACTTGGAACCAACCACAGTCATAATGGATACATATAGAGCATAAGGTTTCTGACAAAGGTAGTAGACATTAAGAAAACTGGCCAAATTACAGGGAACAAAAGACATAAATAACAAGTGAATGCTCAATTTGGCATTATGTCATTACTGGGGTACCACAGGGATCTATATTATAACCACTAATTTAGATTGTAGACAACTCCACAGACCATACCGTAATGGTAGGTTTAACAAATACTACAGTAGCTGAAAAAAATTACAATGACCAAAAAGACTGGGAAAACTGCTGTATATTACATAATCGACTCTTTTAATTATGTCATCCTAAAATTGTTCAATACATTAATAAAGCATCGTTTAGAATATAGTGTGAAATGTTCTAAAACAAGATATTGCTGATATAGAATCAGTCCAGATAACATCTGCCAGAAATTACTGGTCTCAAAGAAACATCCTCAACTGGTAGGAGAAAAAAAAGGAATGTTTTGTGTTGAATGGAGATGACCAATGGGGAGGCAATTTCAAGTATTCAGAATACTTAAAGGCACTAATAAAGCCAACACTGTGCACTGACAAACTACAGGAGACGCTCACGAACGGACACAGAGCAAACTACCAAGGTGTTCTGGAAGCCTCTACCACGGCTTGTTTTCTGGAGGAGATCCTTGTACTCATTAGCTAGGTGGTCTGAATGGGCTCCTCCCTTAGTGATTTTCCTTCCGTTTACAAATATTGAATAGCCAAAAACTGAATGAGGGTTGACAGAAAGTCCCCACAAAGAGCAATACAAGCTGGCGTGTGCTGTACCTGAGCAGCAGTTAGGTCGTAGCCCAGCAGCATGTGTATGGAGAAGGTGGCCACACTGGCGATGACCACTACAATAGGCGCTACACCCACAGTGATGCTCTGGAAGTAACCAGCACGCTCCAAGATCCTCCGCTCCTCCTCACGAATTCCTGTATCGCACAGCATAGTCAGATATTACACTGTGCACAAGAACCCGAACAGCACCGACAGTCAGCTTGGGGACAGACATCACACAGATTCTAGCCTTGACGGGAATGGCCCCGTTTATGGTCTTGAAAGTGGCAGTGCCTGGTAATATGGAAATATTCCAAGTACATTACATAAAGATGCAGCACGACTGTTCAGAACATTATTACGAGCTCCTGAAGAGACGACCTATGTAGTTCTAATTGTTCCAAAAAAACGGAAGCAATTCACAGGGGCAGTGATTACTCAGACAGAGTAGTGCTCTGCAAAGCAGAGGAGGACCAGTAGCAAGCACTTACTCTGTACTCCATGAGAGAAGGCCTTCACCCAGGCATACATCTTAATAAACTTGATGTAGTTGAGAATTTCGTTCATCTTCTGAACCCGTTTATCAGTCACAGACACTCCCTTCCTTCTGAAATAAGCTGTAAGCCTACAGACAAACATCTGAAGAGCAGGCAGGACAGGTTACATGAGCCAGGAACGTTTAGCTGTAAAGTCTTACATGTGCCACACTGAAACCTGTTTACATTTTTGAAGACTACAGAATTCCGGATTAAGTGGTTTGCTGCAAAATAAATATGGATTTTCTGGATCACATTCTTCAGTTAACCAAAGACATTAAATAAGATCTTTACAAATAATTTTTAAATTCAGATTTAAACTTGCATCGAAACAGAGGGAGAACTGGTTTTGTTCTCTTGAAACATGCAGGAAGCCCACTACTGGCATTACAGTCCTAAACACACCAGTATCTTATTTAAAGATGCAAAAATCTATCTGTTCTAACACAATTAATTTAATCAAAGACAAGAAGAATATATCAAACAGCAGAAGAAATGTCATACTTTGGCCTTGTATGCCATCACATTTTTTTTTTCTGAATTAAAATTTCACAAGAAACATCTTGTATGTTTTCATAGGAAGAAGGCAGTAAAAAATATCCAAATATGTGCTTAACGCAGAAAGAATCACTGATTCATTAAATAGCCTGGAAAGTGGATAATAATGTGTTCAACATAACATTAAGTGCTTAACCTGCACTTTTAAAGTGGTCTCTATGCAAGAGAAAAGACGACAGGCCGTGGCCTCTCACCATAGCAGGGTAGAAGAGAATGAAGACTGCAGAGCCCAGCAGTGAGGTGGGTCCCAGGATGATCATGTTGTACACCATGCCCAGGATGGCAATAAGAGGGCCACCAGCCAGCAGACTGCCAACTGCTGCCGCCTCGAACATCCTCTGCCCGTCGCTCGAGCACATGTTGATCAGCTGTTGGCGATAACCAGTTCAGTCCAGTTAGTAACGCTTTAGTCATGTCATGCAAACCTGGACTATTTCGGTTGTAAAACTCTTTGAAGGGGGGAGAAACCGTCAGGCCTGGTACCCACACAGGTACCAGAGAGGCTTTTGTTTTCCTCTCCCTTGCTGTTGCTGCTATACAGTCCTGTCAAATGCTCTGCGGCAATCTATTGCTAAGGCAATGTAGCAAACAAAAAAACCCATCCCGGCTGTCATTAGGCATGCACTGGTTTTACTTGGTTATTTCAGCTGGCCAGGTTTTTGTGAACAATGTTGTTTTCTTTAATCGCACAAAATGCAATATACTTTGGATTTTCCTGTGTGAAGGTCTTTAATGATTTTGCAGTTTTGCGAATGAGATTTGTCCCCTTCTGAACAGCTGATAGACCAGCTTCACATCTAGACAACTCCCAAGTCTTCCCATAATCAAAGACTTAAACTGCATTCTGCAGATCTACTTCCTCATTATCTGAGGATCAGAAGGTGCTGTGTTCATGGTTTGGGCAGCCTGACCACTTCACAAAAACAAGCTCCAGAAAGGAGAAGTGGGGGTTTCGAGTGTGACTATGACATAGTGAACTGCAGCTGTGCTGACAAGGCCCTGAAATCTCACATGGAGCTGACTGGGTAGAAAAATGTTTTTGCCGCATTTCTGAAGACATGCTTATTTGGGGTATCTGGCAGAGTCCCGTGTCTGGGACTGAGAAGTCCCAGGACAGCGTCACTGCCACCAGCGCGTGCCTCACCTCGCCCATGGACTTGTCCCTGATGTTCTTGAGCCGCAGGATCTTGTGGAAGGCCATGGTGAGGATGGCACCTCGCAGCCGGGTGGCGGTGCGGTAGTTGAGAGCCCAGGTGAGCGCCAGGGACCAGGAGCGCACGACCTCGGTGGCGAGCAGGCCCAGGACCAGGAGCAAGCCGTAGGGCAGGTCGGGCTGGCTCTGCTGCGTGTACTCCAGCAGGCGCTTCACCACAAAGGCCTGTGGGAAGGGGGGAGACAACACGCAGGGCGTGAGCAGCCATCCCCAGATGCCAATCACTGCAACACCAGCTTGTACGTTTCAAATGAGTAAAGAAATGAATAAACAAAGAATGGAACCCTATTCAACAACAGCAGTACTGAGTACTGGTTATAGTCTACACACTACCCTTTTTTGAGGTAAAAAAAAACGGAAAAAAATAAGAAAATACAACCTCTTTGGAAATATACAGTGAAGAGTTACCTTTGGGTAAATTGCTTCTCTATTAAGATCTTTAAAGAGAACAAAGAAACAATGAAAATACTGACATGACTATTTGTAACAAAGGCAAGACAAGGCACATTCCACTACGTGACTGAGTACAGTTTTTCTGTTCTGTTTGTGCGGATATAAAGACATTGTACCTACAGTCAGACTGGGGAAGAGGGAGAGGGCGCAGTTTTTTTATGCCTGAAAATAAACATCAGCAGTTTAATGATACAGAGACAATACGAGCAGAAAGAAAGAGAAAACGACAGCTCAGCAACAGTCAAGAATCTCACGGAAAAGGCTCTCTTTTCAATATGCTTCTCACCTCTAAGTGCAGAGGACCTGAGGAATCTGGGGAAACAGCCTCCCCTTTCACGCCTGCGAAACAGTTCTGTATTTCTAGAATACAATTACCGAGATGCACACAGACAGGCATCGCCACCAGCTCACAAACAGGCATTACCCAAGGAAGGGAAGTGCCATCAAACCATACATACACAGTTCAGGACAACAGCATGCTTTTATTGCTTTCAGATTTTTAAAAAAAAAAAAGCAAAATAAAGAGTGCATCAAAACCATCTCTACCATTTGTGAAAAAATGTGCATTGAGTACAAACACTTGGTACACGGTTATATAAAAAAAAAGCAGAAAAGACAAAACAAATGCTGAGGACACAGCTTATAGACACAAACGCTGTCCCTCCAAGTGTGACATTATCAATGCCATGAAGTGAAGACAGGACTCTGCTGAAAATATGACTTCAGTCTCCCGACATTCATTTCTATACTATTCTGGTGTTTCTGGACAGCAACAGCACTATATAAGTTGTTCAAGTCCAGCTTCATTGCTTCCAGAAGAGCGTGACGAATTTAACCCCAGGGTGCCGATGTCGAATAACTGTTCTTTCAGCCTCCCAGAAGTGCCGAACCTCAAAACTAAACAAAGGAGGAGCCACAGAGAGAACTGGCTTGCAGAAACAGCCAAGGCATGCCACCCAGCACAGGGGTGGCAACATGATGGCACAGCACTGGTACTGTACAGGTCCTGAGCCTGGTAGAGCAGGGTGGCTCCTCATCACTCCCAGCTTGTCCCTCTTCCCTTATGCCTCAGGCTTGTCTTACAACCAAGCAAGCTGCTGCATGAGTCCCACGATCCCTCAGTTACTTTGCTAAAGAGAGGAAGCCCTTTCCCAGAAGTCTGTTGGAGGACAGGAGCTGATGCGTTTTTAGTCTTTTGCAGTTGTCCTTTGGCAGTTAAGTGTCCAGTATCCATAAGAAAATGTATCGCACCCCCCCCCCCCCAAATTAAAAACCAAGACCACGAGCATCTCTCATAAAGTAACAAACATCTTCATTTTTAAAATGGAAACTGACCAGCAGTGCTTTACAAAGAAATGAAACAGGCTAGAAAAAAAGTAGGATTAGTGGATAAAACATCTGTCATGGCTTTTCAGCTAGGAATTATTTCTATGCAGAGAAAAACATACATTAAAAAAAAAAGACCCTGTTAGCTGTAGGCATTCCTGGGTAATAAATATGCCCTTACCTCTCAGGCTTTTGGCAGTGGTTTCTGCGCGGTTCGCCCTCTATTTCTCTCCACAGTATAGGGACAGCCTGTGAATTCTAAAGAACAGCTTCTGTCACTTGCTCCACTGTTGGGACAGTAGTGAATCTCTCCTCCTGTGCCTTTCCACCCCCAGCCTGTTCAGCCGGCACGGAGACTGGACCCCATGCAGGCCTCAGACAAACCTGGAACAATGAAGGCCGTCGCCATGGCCAAGGCACTGAGTCAGCCATCAGGCCTTAATTCAGGGGGTAGCTGTTCCTCTCCACACTAGCTCCAGCCATCTACCCGGACTTTGGACTACTGTACACAGCCGACTCTCGCAGAAAGAGCTCAAAAACGTATCCTTGTTGCTTGGGAGATGGGCCTACAGAAACCCAATTCAGAGTTTCAAGTAACCGTGTTGGCCAAGAGACCGTCTTCGTGGGCACTTCTACAAGAAACTTCTGAATGTCGCTACCTAACCTCTGCGATACAGCATCCTTGTGGACTTCTTTGCATCCTGAAACTCAGTTTGTAATGATTTTCATATGCAAATACACAAACAAAGGCACTTAAGACTTACGGGGTAACTCGAAATGGTATAGAACACCTGTGAGCTTTTAAAATGATAATAAACATAACTGGGTTGTACATCCTCCACTCTTAATGTCTTATGAAGGGATCAGTCCGGGTCAGATTTGTTTCTCATTTGCCTGAAAAACTCCAAAATGAAGTGACAAGCCTATAAACAGACACTGGTAGCGTGTTAATCTACACATCAGAGGCTCTAAAGAAGAAACAGGGATTAACATTTAGGACACATGGCTAGTCTCCTACCCCTTACCTCTAAACTGAGGACAGCTCCTTCTTATGCTTGATTTTAAAAGTTTCCTTGAACACATTCTGCTCGCCTTACGTATGCCAAAAGGCAATAAATGAAGTACCCATAGAATAAAGGACAATGCCTTCTTGAGCACATAAGCTAATACACAGGCCGACGTACCTTCATTTTTCCAGATTTTTTCACAGCCCTACTGCAGACTTAACAGGGCTTCCTGAGGTGAAATCTAAAGAGCGGGCTCAGCTCCAATGCCTTTCAAAGTCATTCACACACCCGAGAGGGCTTGGCTGTGGGACTGATGCACCCATGGGTGTTAATTGTGTAGTTTTTCCATAGCAGGAGGGACTGGGTCAGGAGGAGGTGGGGCGCATTAGTAGGATTGCTCCTGGCAGAAAGATTAACACAAGAAGCCATGTCTGGAAACCACACTATAGTTAATGCTAACCAGAGAGCAACTCCTATTTTCTACACCCTGACAGCCTGCTGACACAGGGGAGGGAAACACTGGTGTAGGGCTATGATCTTGGACTCCTGATACTTTAAGGCTCTGGCCCTGCACCAAGGTGTTAATAAAGACAATGAAGGAAATAAACTCACTACGTACCCCGCAGTGGAGCAGTGACAGAAGCTCTTCTTGGCAAAGATGGTGTGTTAACCCTGACACCCGCAGAGAGAACTCTAGATCTGAAAAAAGTCTTGCACTTTTGCAGTTTTCACAGTATCAAGAAGAAGAAGAACAACAACAAATACCTATTCAATACATATGTACAAAAATAAACGTATTATGTGCAATTAAATAAAAGGGGATAGACTTCCATCAGTGGAAGGGAATTAAAGGAAATAGGGTGCTGAAAACAAATGAAAGAAGCAAAAGGTGTGGCTTTATTTTAAAAAGGTTACTATTTGTCAAAATACAGTGGCTTCTAAGGTTCTACCTGATCCCAGATAAAACAGACGTTAACGAGAATTACCCTAGCTTCTTGACTAGTCTAAATTACAAGAATTAGTTCAAAATACTTTAAGATGAAATGTTACCTATAGACAACCTTGATCTACCAAGCTCAATTTACTTACCCAGGACCAGAACCCTTGAGATAATTTACAAGGGGTTTCCTGGCAGAATGTAAAGTTACAGGAATAGTGGTTACAAGTCACATTCAAGCAGGTGCTTTTGCTAAGAAGGCCAATATCACTCTGCAATTAAACATGCTGAGAACCGTAAAGTTAAGGCCAGGTCTTAAAACAGTCAGCATGGTTGTGAACACCCGGAGGAATTCAACAAAATGGGTTTATTTCAGACTGAAGCTCTAGTTAACCTGGTCAGCCTCTAATCCAGACTGACCCCACCTCGTTGTCAAACAAGTCAGAGTTCAAGTGATTTCTTCATAAGGAAGTAGATCTCCCACTACTCTAACATAAGGAGCACTTCAATATTATCCAGCCCAAGTCCAAAATCACTCAAGGAGAAACGCTATGAATTTAACGATCGCTGTTCTGCTTTAGTTCAGATCTGAAAATAAAATAAAAAAGTCAAGCTGACTACAGCATGGGATCGTCTTCCATTACCCTTACCAAAAATACATGCATCCAATTGTAGTCATGCAACCATTTATCCAGTTCATAGCCTCCCAGTAAGGTCAGATGCTTTGCTTTTGGCATATGGAGTGCAAAAGCCCAGCACGCACAGCCCAGGTGGTGCAGATGTGCGTTTTGGTAAAGGTAAGTGTAGTCGATGTCAGGCTCACCACTCACCTTTCACCTTTCACCCCTCACCTTGGCGCTCTTGCAAGGGTGAGCCGCCAGGGGGCAGTGTGAGTACAGTTAGGGGAGAGATGGGGATGGTATTACTTACTGGTCCACTGAAGCCCGCGAGCTGCGTGATCATGAGGCACACTATAGACAGGAGCAGCCTGGTGCGGCAGAAACTCCAGGCCACGGCGTGCAGGGAGGCCTCGTCCCCGCGGCTCTTCAGCTCCACCTGCCACAGTGCCGCCAGCCTGCGCACACAAGAGCACTGGGAACTCAGGACGACCACTGAAATTGTTTGGGGGGGAGGCTTCTATTTTGTGGGCTGCTGACGGGAAGTATTTTCAGCCTGTGTTTAGGGCTGGGCGATATGGCCAAAAGCATTATCCCGATAAACATTTTCATATCAGTCGATATCGATAATTATCACGATAAATGTCAAATCGTTATTTCTTTCAAGATTAAAGGCAGATTCTTTTCTCCTGAGTGAAAGTTGAAGAAACCGGACAGTTAATTAAGAAATTAAACAACTCTTTATTTTAAGAACACAGCAAACACTTGCCAAACAGCAGAAACATTAAACAAATCTGGTAGCTGCCCGGTCTACAACACATACGCGCGCTCGCGCAGTATTTTGTGCGCATGCGCATATCGTGCGCAAAGCATAAACATATATAATCGGACATTTATCGAACTTTTGTTAAAATTATATAGAGGAAAACTATCGTGATAATTCTCGTTATCGAATTATCGCCCAGCTCTACCTGTGTTCAGCAAATTACTTTGTTTCAAATGCAATACATACCATCTGACTTAGCAAACCCACCCTCAAAATGATAATTAGCCAAGATTTGAAAACGGGGCCCAGAGGAGAGAGACCCCAAAGGTCTGCCACTCATGACCAGGGAAGGGGAACCCAGCTAGACCTTTACTAAATTAAAGGTTACACCAAACTGATTTTATGACATTATAAGTTGGTACGGGGCTTCCCGCAGGAAAATCTTCCACACAACAGGCTCTAGTCGGGTAATGGGAAAAGTCAGTGTTGGATCCTTGAGAAAGTCCACGTTCCAAGAGAGTGAAATTGTAACGGGGACACGTCCACCCATTTTCTATCTGCTTCATCCAATTCAGGGTCACGGGGGAGCCGAAGCCCATCTCGGCAAGCAAAGAACACAAGGCAGGCTACACCTTGGATTGGACGCCAGTCCACGGCAGGGCAGATCGGGACAGACAGGCATACACTCACAACAGGGCCAATTTTTCAAGAACCTCATCAATCTACCAGCATCTCTTTGGACTCCTGTGGGAGGAGACCAGAACATCCAGAGGAAACCAACACAAATGCAGGGAGGACATATAAACTCCACACAGATAGCACCCTGGGTGCTGGAATTGAACCAGGGCCCCAGCGTTGCAAGGCAGCAGTGCTAACCACAGAGCCCCCATGCCTCTCTGCAACAGAGAGGGTAGTCTAGAACTCGAGCCTGATCTCACCAGATCTCAGGAGCTCAACAAGGCTGCAAGCCCTCCAGGAAAACCCACATTGCTACCGTAAGTGCAAGTGTAGAAGCAGTGTGCTTTCCCCTAGATCACAATTTTTAAAAAACAATGCTTCAGTACAGTTAGCAGGGACAGTGCTGTACCATCTTTGTTTAATGTTTTTAAGCCAAAAGACCCTGACTACTTGTTTCATAAAAAGCCAAAGGTACCATCCCTAATAATTGAGGCTAAAATCCTGGCGTTTAACCACCTTTCCCCTTAACTAGTTAATACAACAATTTGTCACTTCTCCACTTTTATCAGCTGTGTAGTGGCACAGATACCTTAAGTGGATGCAGCACAGCAGTGAAGAAAGTGGATCCCTCACTTAAGGAAAGCATCATATAAATACAATTGTAATAGGTTAATGGCTGACTTAACTGAAGTACAGCAGTTTCCATGAGAAAGTTAGCATTAGAGACTTTTCTGGTATGTTGCTGCTTGTGTGCTTGTAAACATAGTGTAAAGAATGATCAATGGGTCAAATCCACAGTCCGCCCTGACTACTGACCTCCTGCTGTTGAGCTCTGAACTCTCCCACTTGGACAATGCCCAGATGTCATCCATGAAGAGCTGCCCTTTCTTATGAGCTTTGAAGGCCAGAGGAGTGAGCCAGTTGAAGGTCATAAAAGAAAATAGACCAGCATTGTCTACAGGATGTTGGTGTCTAGAAAACAAAGAAGAGAATATCGTGCTCAAGGCAGGGAGAGGAGCAAGAACATTACTGGGATACGGTGAAGGACCGGGCATGCTCTTAACTGCTGCAGCGCTGGCTTACTTGTTAGTGGAGCGGATGGGCTTGAGGAGGCTGAGGCTGTGGTGGTACTTGCTCCTGTGCCTGTCTTCCTCCAGCTCTTTCAGGTGAGGAAGGGTCATGGTATCCAGAGGCAGACCCTCAGCCCGTGCTGCTGTCTCCAAGGCATCCTGGCACAAAGGGCGCTGCAGAAGACACACACTCATTCAGGAAAGCATTCATTCACTTAATACACAAAGGAAGTAGTGGGTATAAAGCAATGCACTTTGCTAAACAAATAAACCTAAACATGAAATGTCCCAGGTTCATAGAAGCAGTCAGAATCTCCTTTTACATTCAAACTTTCGCTCAGTTTTATTTAAAAGTAAATGTTGCAAATCCATACCACAGCTGTCTTTTTGGCAATAGGAGCAGAGCTTAAAAAATAAATGCGGGTTATTTCTCCAGGGCTAAAAGTGATTTTAGGATGAGGTTAGCTTACTCATTGCTGGGATCACGTGCAGGTCCCTTACTAACAGGGAGAACTTGGGAGAACAGGGAGAACCAAACCATAACAACCAGATTGGGCCCTTCTGTCGTGCCACCTAAGGAACATTCTTGCCTGCAGCTCAAAAGACACTCGATCAGACATTTCTGATGACTGGAGGAAAGATGAGTGTTGTGCATTGAAAACGAAGGCAGCTAAATAGCTTCCTCACCAAAAGCACCCATTCTTGTAAAACAGCTCAGTGACATTTCACTTTATTTCGTTTAAAACCTAATATGCTGCATCAAAAAAGCTCATTGAAAAAACTCCTCATTGCTCAAGCACCAATTTCCCTTCAGTTAAATGCAACATGGTTTGTGAACCCCTGAGGATTTTCACAGAATTGAAAGCTAAAATATTACACCTTCATTTGTGTTCTAACAATAGATGAAGTTAACCAGATAAAACAAATGTTCTTTCAACATTAATTGACTCTGAAATAATATGATTCTCAATTTCAAACTGTGACAAAGAATGTGAATCTTTAGATTCAGTAACTGGTGGTTTCTCCTTGAGCAGCAATAACTGCAACTAAATGTTTCCTGGAACCACTGTTCCAAACAGGTTTTAAACAACTTTAGCCCATTACTCCATACAGATCATTTTCAGCTGGGTGACATCTGGGGGCTGCCCTGCTTGGACAGTGTGCTTCAGGCCCTGCCATAACTTGGCATCAGCAATATATCCCCCCCAACCCACAACTAGCAGCTCACTGAAGCTAGGCAAGTGTGAGCCTGGCCTGTACCTGGATGGAAGACCTCCTGGGAAAGCTAAGGTTGCTGCTGGAAGAATAATTATAAAGTATAGCTGTATAATAATGCCTCAGTATAGATGCAGTATACCGTAAAAAGGCGCCATCTTTTGGATGTGCCGTAAAACAGAGGTCCTGATTCTCTGTGGTCATTAAAAATCCTAAGATGTTTCTTGAAAAGAGCAGAGGTGTTATCCTAATGTCCTGGCCACGTTTCCCATTGGCCTTTACCAATCATGGCTTCCTAATAAACCCCATCTCTTCATTACTCTGGTATACTCCCAACTAGCAGCTGATGTGTGATCAGCATAGTGGTGCACTTTGTCTGTCATCACATCATCCAGGTAGGTACTGCACATCGGTGGTGGTGGTGGTGGTGGTGGTGGTGAAGAGGAGTCCCCATTATGGTGATATGTAAGTGTAAGGATGATATTATGTAAGTGGGGGTTTTAGTCCAGCCTTTGCCTAGGCCATTGTAAAACAGAATTCCTCTTTTGCAGCCATCCATTTATAGAGCTGCTGAGGATAATGTTGAGGATTATGGTCGTGCTGCAAAACCCACTTTCGCTTCAGCTTCAGGCCCCAGACAGACAGTCTCATTTTCTACAATCTCCTGCTGCAATGCAGAATTCATGGTTGTGTGGGCAAGTTATCCAGATCCTTAGGTGACAAAGCAGCCCCAAATCATCACACTCCCACCACCATGTCTGGGGCAGAGCAGTGGGTCTGTGGCTAAGGCTCTGCGCCTGTGACTGGAAGGTTACCAGTTCAAATCTCACAGCCAGCAGAGGAATCCTACTCAGTTGGGCCCCTGAGCAAGGCCCTTAACTCCAACTGCTCCAGGGGTGCTATACAATGGCTGACCTTAAGCTTCTCTCTCCACCTGGCTGTGTGTGTCTGTGTCTCATGGAGAGCAAGCTGGAGTATGCGAAAAGACTAATTTGTAATGCAAGAAATTGTATAGGGGCTAATAAAGTGATGTTATGTTAGACAGCTGGAAAGTGGCTCTTCTGTTGAAAAGCACCATTTCATTTGACCTTTGACCCGTCTGTCCTGAGAAAACCGTCTAGTAAGCCTTGTGGATCTTTTACATGCTCTCTGGAAAAGCTTCAGAGGGGCAGTAATGTTCTTTCTCCTTGCGACCTGTCGATGAGCATCATTCTTGTTCAGTCATTTTGCCACATGAACCAAGGTGAGAGGGGCCTGTAGTTCTTTGGATGTAACTTTCTTTCTGAGACTGGATTGTAGAGGCCCAAAACATTTTTCCAAGGTCCTCAGCCATTAAAGATCATGACATTTTTTACAGTGAAGACTAAACGCACTTGGCATCTGATTTTAATATTTTTCGAACTCAGCCTCCAACATCTACCCAATTATTTAAATACCTGATTGTGGTTAGGAGTTTAGTTACTTTTTCACATGTCCTGTACCTTACTCAATTTAATTTTTTACATCATTTTGTTTCAAAAGACATGGAATTGGTTACTCTAAACCCTATTGGATATTAACAAAGATGAGTTTAGATTCAAGAAGGCTATCGTGGTAAAACTATAGCATTTCCACACTTTCTTTGGGTGTTTACAAACTTTTTCTTGGCACTTGTAGACCTCTTTAGATAGATTAGGCAGGATATTTTCAGCTTATGATCATTTGAATATTGTTTGCGTGCGGCCTAGAAAATAGCTAATTAAGACTAGTTTCCCCCGCCCCCATGCCTTATACTACACAAATAGTCTAGTGGACCAGTGAAACACATTGCTCTACATTAAAAACATCCCTTCCAAGAGAAGAATTGTAACATGATAGTATATGGGTCAACACCAATTTTTGAACTCTCAAAAATGTTCTTTTATACATGAATGAAACTGGAATTCACTCCACCCTGTAAGCTAGGGCTGTAAAAGGTATTCATTATATTATTCGTTATTGGCAATTTGGGCATGTAGCTTACAAATATTTATAGGGGCTTTAATCAGCCAAGTGACTGAGGGTACACAAGGAGTTAATCCAAATGTTGCAAAAACTAAATCATTCAGTACATCTCATTTCTTCACAAACAATGCATTATACTATACACATTTACATATAAACATTAGCTGTATTTAAATATACACAATTTGAGCATATATGCATGCATATCTACCATGACAGCAGAGGGATACATGTGCCTGAAAGCTTTTGCTGTAATAGATCTTTCGAGTATCTTCCAGACAAAGAAAATGGTTTCTCAGAGAGACCGAGATAATCCATAGACTTCTTCCTGGACTTGGGACATCCTGGTAGTCAGTTCAGCAGGCAGTGCAGCAAGAGACAAATTAGAGACCACTGCTCAATATGGAAATATGGTGCTGGAAAATAAAACACTGCGTGTGACTTGCCGATTTGATGCCACTGCACAGCAAGTTCTGAAGAAAATGGATTCCTAGTTTGATCAGATCCTAACGGTTTGGATGAGAGCCCATGTCCTCTCTGCACATTTCAACCAGCGCTGCCAAAAAGCAGGTTGGATCATCAGTGCCCTCTGCACATGCTGCAGTGCGAAACAGTTCTTTCAGAGCGAAATCAGCTTCTCAAGGATAAATTTCCAATCCTTCCTCAAGATCTAAAGCAAAAGGCATAGGTTTGCTTTCTTCCTGTGGATCATTAGATCCGTATGTCTGCCAGAACAATGCCTCAGTCAAGAAATGCAAACCTTGAGAATTACCCTTGAAGAAGCTGATTTTGGTGGAGAGGTTAAAAAAAACCCTCCGAACTAGATAGCACTTAAAAGGAACAATTTCTAGAATGCCATAGCAACAAGCTGTAACAGAACAAAGGAAGTGCTGAAAGGAGGGTCTAGCAGAGCCAGCCTTGAGTGGGGAGGGGGCCCCGATAAAGCCCATGTGCAAACAAAATAAAAACAGGGAGGACAAGTCCATGTTGAAGTCTCGCCTCTAACAAAGGGATGGTGCAATGCTGTAAAGCACCTTTGAAAATCCCGATTCAAGCAGGACTTTCATCCTGCTTCGCAGCAGCACAGTGAACAGTGGCACTGCACAGCACGTGCAGGGCTGGCAGCCCACAGTCACGTTTTGCTAATGCTCTCACGTTGCACATACAGACAGCAAGACCGAACCCCGAAGTGCCAGACAGCCAATTGGGCCGTCAGCAAGACGCTCCATCTCGTCTACCTGCAGCGCCACTGGCTGCGCTGACAGGCTGAGAGCCAATGGGAAGGCAGCTGTTATGTAAATAATTCAACCCAGGCGGGGCAGGCAGCAATTGGTGGGCTGGCTGCTGGTCTGGTAGCCAATGGGCACACAGCAGTGTGGAGAGGACCTCCAGGGAAGAGGCAGCAGAGCAGCACAGTCCCAGCCCCGTCCTGCTGACTCAATGCAACAACACAGACCGGGGGGAAAGGCCTCCCAGCACTCCCACTCCAGATGCAACTCTGAACAGGCATTAGCTGAGGGCCTGCTGGAACCGTTTAAGTGGAGGTTTCTGTGCCGCAGCACGAGACTGGATAATACTTAAACTCAGTTTAGACATTGCTTCAGTCCCCTTCTTCCACGACTTTCCTCATCCTGCCTTCAGCATATTCAGCGCTCTCTACTTCTGTAGCAGGCTGTGAAGTCGAGGAAAAGCACGTCCTGTGTTGCCCCCGGACACAAGCAGCCGGAAATACCGCAGTAAGCCGGCACTGCACTTAGATACTCAACGCACTGCAATACAGCCCCCCCCGGTACAAACGCCTAGACAATATTTTTCCCTCCCAACATCATACCTCCAGCTAAGAGAGAAGGCTTCAAGGCCTGGCTTTGTGAGACTTTCTAGGTCTTCTTAAATTCTGGCAAGGATTAAAGACTGTTATAGGACTGAACCAGGCATTCCCCCTCCTATGAGGAAACTCATTTAGAGCACCCATGGTTGGCTTGTTTAATTCCGAGTTTGGGTGCCTGACAATCAAAAACGTTCAGTACACTGGTCAAATCACAGCTGCCCGCCCCCCTCATCTCACTTTCCTCCCATAGCCCAGTGACCACTCATCCCACATCCCCATCCCGACAGATTCCCAGACAGGGGGAGGGCCACAAAGAGCAGAAGGACTCAAGGGAAAACCCCAGCAGCTACGCTCAATAAGAAACAGACCCGATTCTAAGAGAAGAACTAAGCACGAAGGCCCGCACGGACCTGTCGGTTTCCAGCGAGTCAACACCAGAACCTCAACCAGCCAGATCTGCTGCTCAGGCTGAACAGCAGCTACGGGCACACTCACCTGCACCTTGGGTAAGTGGTATTTGCTGCTGTCCTTGGGCTGCTGTGCGTCCCTGCAGGAAACTCCCCTGTACCCAGGGCTCGGGAGCACATAGTCCTTTCCCAGCTCAAGGTCCTTCATGGTCTCTTGCAAACAGCTGCACGGAAAAACAGAAGCCACAGCACATAATCATTAAGCACTTTTCCTTCTCTATAAAAGATGCCTTTCAACTTCCCACGGGACACTCTCGACAGTTCTCAGGGTCAAGGCCTGATAAAGATAAATTAGTCAGAATCCCGTGACCCATCACGGAAAAAAAAAAAACAAGTTAACTGTAAGAGGGATACCAGAAGGTAAAGCCTTTAACTAGAGACTACTGGCGTTCGCCCCAGCAAAACATATTGAATTAGCTCGTCTCTACGAATAGCTGACCGAAAGAGGATGGATGCTTTCGAGTTATGGTGCTGGAGAAGACTGTTACGGATACCATGGACAGCAAGGGTCACCAATAAAGAGGTTTTGGAGCTCACCAAGCCAGAAATTTCGCTTAAGGGAAAGATCACCAGACTCTGGCTCACTTATTTTGGTCACGTGATGCGATCAGCTTCAATGGAGAAAGCAATGATGCTTGGAAGGGTCAGTGGAACGAGAAGACGAGGCCGCCAAAGAACGCGGTGGCTCGACGCCATCAAAACGGACACTGGCTTAGGCATAGAACAGCTGAAAGAGAAAGTCCAAGACCGGAAAGCGTGGCGAGAGATGGCCTATAGAATCGCCGAGAGTCGGATCCGAATGACCGGATAACACCATCACAAATAAGAATCTCAGACGACCGCCTTTTACAATGGTCCCAATGCTGCAGTCTTGAGCGTTTCTTCCCCAAATAAGTCCAGGCAGACAGTTTCTGCGAAATGGCGAGAGGCAGCCGTGAGACACCGCTGTCCCGGGACGGTGTCCTCTTCCGCACCCCGGCTGTCTCAGTCCTAACAGAGACTCCCCACGGTCTCTTCCAACATCCTTCACTGGACGGGAAGCGTGCCGTTTTAAGGCAGTTAGGTACTGGAGACGAGAGACCCGGATGAGCCATTAGTTAGCCAGTACAAGTTACCCAACTTCCCTTGATCCTTTCAGCTCACCGCTATCGAGAACGGGGCTAGCCCCACACTGACAACAGGGGTGTACAGAGCTCCCCAGCATCACCGAGACCTGCTTCCTTTCCACGACGGGTACACGGAGAACAGGTCCGTTCCCACAGGGAAGAAACGAGCAGAAGGTGCCGCCCCACAACGAGTAATGAATAATAACCCCAGCCCCCACACCCTCTCTTCCGAGAACCGGAGATATTCAGTCCCCCGGCTTTCATCTGAAACCAACAGGTCCGCGGTATGAAACCTGCACATCGACGTCTTCGTGCGGATTCCAGTTCTCAGTTATTTCATTGTCATCCGTGGTAACGGCTACTTTTAATATTTAATTTCGGTTCTAGTAGTGAACCTTGATGCATGACGTTAAAAGCCTATAAAACGATATAAGTGGGCAAACTAACGGCGTTAAGTTAAAATTAAGCGTCAGTTTCATAATGATCATATTGATACGATGAAAATCAGGTCGTCATACTCCTGCTCATTAAAAATCAAGATATCCACCATGACGAAGCCAAAACAGGAAACATAAGCACACATACGTAAGTGTAGTTTAAAAAAAAGTAGTTATATAACGGTGTACAGTGAACTACATGTAATGTTAGCAATTGCTTTGTTAAAAAGTACAATAAAGCTTACGATAAATTCATATCAATAAAGAAGATGACTGAAGCATCCGGGGGCTTTATATTTCCGATGTACCGCAAATCGCTTCCCAGTCGGATTTTTATCCAAAACAGTTTTTCTTTATATATATATAAAATATATTTTTTAAATTTTGACCTTTAATAACCTTCGTTCAATGAGCCAGAAGACTTTCAACGCAAACATAAATTCCAGCTTATCAATTTTTATCCCCACCCGCCGCAGCCTAGCAACAGATACCTGCTCTTCTGCCTTCCAACGCAGATCCCAGATCATCTACCACGGCCAAAACAAACGCCTTATAAAGGAGCTGCCGAGAGCTATTGAGCCGATAAGACTCTTCGGGAAATGTAGTTCACTAAAAACCCCGCTCACAACGAATCTGTGGAGCAAGACCTAAAAGAAAAACTACAACTCCCGCAAAACCCTTCGATGAAGACAAGGGTGTGGTTAAGTGTAAACGTCATCAGTGTTACGGGCACGCGAGGTCCGAGTCGTGCTCGCTCCTTCAGCTAGAAAAGTCTTCAGAATAAAGACCGCGTGCACGCGAATGCGGGGTCGAGCGGTATTTTTTTTTACCTTTTGCGTGAATGAATACAGCATTTTATTTATATAAAATAAATGTACATTTCTAAAGGTACTCGTCTGAAAAACATATAATCATATTACAACAATTACGCAGAATTATATTTTCCTGTGCAATTTTCTGTGTTGTCGGTTACGTACTTTTCAACATTTATATTTTTTAAATAGACTTAATAACGTAAATAAATCATTAGCCTTGTAGTATATGAGGTTGTGTTAATTTGCTTCACATCTTGATTAACAGTCCCGAAGATGTCAGCGCTTGGTAAATAAATGTCGTTAGTCCACCTTTGACGAGGCAATCTAATTTCGCGATTACTCTCCACATAAAAACAGCATTAAGAGCTCGTTTAATTGTCCGTACCCTAAAACAGAGAAGCCTCTGCTAACAATCAGCTAACATTGTTAAAGGTGTTTTATTTCGGTGTTTGTGTAAATGTTTCATAGGGGCTATTTTTGTGCTTGTAATGAGGTAGCAAAATGCATAGTAAAATTAATTCTGAAGACGAATCTATCTAAAGCGTCATTCGCTATTGTGTTATTTTAGATAACTTTTTATTAGCAATTAGAACAAAATTGCGTGTCCGTTACAATTGTTTCTTTGCAATGATCCCAGTTACACTTCTCGTCACACGTCATGTATGATCAAATTTACCATCTTCTGAACAGTCTTTGCAGCGGAATCACTGAAACAGGCGATTGAATTCGCTTCCTTCGGGCACAGAGACAGCACAGGTTTAACGACACGCTGGCGGGACGGCTTGAACGCTGTTATTTGCGGTGAAAATGACCTATGAATTGAAACAGAGTGAAGAGGCATGCGGCCTGCCTTCCGCCGAGGTGCCGTAAAGGTAGTCGCAGCGCTGTTGCTGCAGCTGCGCTTCAGATCGCAGATGGGCGGCCTGCGCGCGCCGGCCCGGCTGCGCATTGTCGTGCACGGAGCTGGGAGCCGGGGGCCGCAGTCTCGCCGCCGCAGAGACTCGGTACTTTTCCACTCACTGCGGCGCCTCCTGCTCTTCCACAGGCGGAGCAGAGCGGTGGAGGACTAGGCCGCCGAGCTGCTGCACGCCTATAAATCTATACTTGCAAAATATGTTTCTAACAGAACCAATGACACAGCTTTTTGTTTAATATCAGTTAACGATGCTATATATATTAAATAGTATTGTATAGTGATTTAGAAAGGAAAAAAAGTTCGTCTGTAGTTCAATAGAGTTGAACCGAACTGCAGATGAATATTTTTCATGTTAGCACTTGCTAACATGATGCTCCACAACTTGCCAACTTTCATGTTAGCAGTTACTAGGTGTGCCACAGTATGAAGACCTACAGCAGCAAGAATGCCTATCTTGTGTGTTCTTATGATTAGAAAAATATTTAAAACCCTTAAGTGTGTATTTGATTTGATGTAATTACAGAATAGGAACAGCTGTTGTGCAGAAATATTACTGCAAAAAAAAAAATGGTTAAGGCCAATGTTAACTATAACTGGATGTGGAATACAGTAGATACCACTATTGATCCCAAAGGGAAATTGAGGTGTTACAGCAGCACAGCCCAAGACAAGCGAAAACAGACACCAGAGTAGACTAAAAATTAAAATACGTACAGTAATACAAAATAAATATAAAATAGGTGTGCAAAATATGCTCCTAGTCACTGTAAAAAAAAATAAAATGTGCAAAATGTGCATAGGTATATATAGACTGAGTGTCCAAAAAGTACATTAGTGCAACATGCTGTCCATAGATGAGCCGATGAAGGGATAGCAGTCCTAGCCTAGGGCAGTGTTAAACACCCCGACAGCCACCCTGACAGTAACGCCTATATATAACTTGGCTAATTAATTTTAAGCCCCCAGTTACAATCCTCAATTTCACAAGGATTGCAACATAATGTGTGCAATGTGTGAAACTATGCAATAATGTAATTCTCCCCCAATATAACTGGGTTATCTGCCCACAGTAGCTGAAGAGAGCCCCCTAGTGGACAACGACTTCACTGCAGTTCTGAAACTACAAGCCAAGGCCTGCCAATTTGAGTTAAGCATAAAATACACGGGAAGTCCATTCTTCACCAGTCTGAAGGCTGGAATCCATTAGTTCCTTAAAACCAGAAATAGCTTCAGATTTCTGGGTAAGCAACGACCTGGTGAAATCTGAACCTTTGCCACAGGCCTTGGGGTTGTACATCATTTTCAAAGGCCTGCTGGTTTTGTTGTCCTTCCAGGACCAAGACAGGGGAGTGGCTGTGACAGACTGATTAAAAAACTGGAGCTGCTGAGTTCCTGGGTCACTGTAAGATTTTAGTCATCTGAAGTACTCCAAATTAGCATGAAAATGGTTCTTACAAAAAACAGAATAACCTCCATGTCCTACTCCTAAACAAGTCCTTCTCAACCAAGACACTCTCCGAGTCATGCAAGGAGAAATCTGAAAAGATCTTTCGGTTGTTGCTGTTAAATCCTTCATAATGCTGCTGGCATCTCCCTGCAACAAAAGTCAAATGTAACAGAAATGCCTGCGCATACCAAACCTGGTGAAAACATCCAATGCTCACTTCCGACAGTGAACACCTTTTTTCAGTTATATCAGACAACCCCCTCTTGTTCAAGCATCTGAAAACTTTCCACTCCTTTTCAGTGTTATGGGAGAAAACTGCACCAAATGTGCTTTTTTATAAATGCTTATAGTGGTCAACAAATAAAAATGCTCTCTAATAAACATGGGCAAATTGGATAAATCAGGATTTTATGTTCCAAAGCTCTAGTCCCACTGGGAGCTGTGGATTTCATGTGACCTCATTGATTCAGTGATTTAAACAAGTGTTTAATCGAGTTTCCCAGCTTTCAAATAGGTGGTGATTTAAAGACCCTGTGAAGCTGGCAAGACCCCAGCCCCACCAGAACCTGGAATTCCATTCTCTTAGCAAGACGTCCAGTGGTCACACGTCGAAGAACCTGCCTCCGCACCCTGGAAAGTTCATGATCAATGTCCAACAGACCCAGAAGGGCAGAATGTAAAGAATCACTCACTTTTCCAGGATAACGATGACTTCCCTGGTAAACTACTGATTCCCAGAAACATCCATTCAGGACACTAATGGCACATTTGCAGTACTGCTTAACCTCCCAAGTCACTCTAATGTACAATCATGCCATACATGGCTCATCTATTCAATAGTTTATTGACAGTATCCAGGTTCTGGCTGTCAACCCTGCACCACACAGGTGCCAAGTCTTCTGCACCTCATCAGAGATACCACAGCAGAGCTAACCCGTGGTCTATCTCAGAGAATTACAAAGAACTAGAGGCAAAATCAGGAAAAAAAAAAACAAGAATCAAACATCAGACACTCTGTCCAAAACAGAAATAAGGCCAAGCCAGTGCCATCTTAACCAAGATACAAGATGTGAGCCCAGTTTGTAACAGATACTGTATCTTGAGAAACCCAGTAAAATGAAACTGCAGGTGTAAAAGGAAGCCATGGAAAATCAGCCCCACAATTGATAGTGAAACCCCTGCTTGTCTAAGACAGCCCAAGTTTACGGGCACACATACACACCCCTCGAGGAAGTGCTCTCTACTGCAGCTTCTCAGCACATCAGATCTGCGCAGCAGCAGACAGCTCCTTCAGAAAGAAACACTGCAGACACCGCTTGATTTGGACCAGTCCTTTTATTGTATGTACACAACCACAGCACATTACACCCGTGATGGATACAGCATCTGCAAGAGAAGGAAAGGGATTAACAGTGACAGTGCAGTGTGACACCGCAAGTCTTGGAGCTACATGGGGGAAGTATAGCTGTCAAGCAGGAAGAAGACGGATGCCTGCGACAAGTGAGCTGCACGTTGGTCAAATGCTTTAGCAAACTTGCCTTACAGTGTCCAATTACTGTAAATTACAGCTGCTTAACCAACAGCCCATGCAATCCATTTTAATAACATACTCATCTCCAAACACGTCCCTAATTGATTATTTAAAGGATTAAGATAACAACAGTGGAGTTCGCCAGAAAGGCTGGAAAAATTTAAAGCAAAAATCTACACTTCTTCCTCACTCACCTTGTGTTACAGTGGTATTACCGGGAAGAGGTGGGTGCATGGAAAAGGACAGGCAGAAAAGGGGAAAATCTGAGTCTGATGTCATTTCAGATGGGCAACAGAATGACAACACAAAGCTAAGGAGCGATGAAGGAGGCTGACCAGTTTATAAGTGACCACAGCTTTGGAAGGAGGGATGAAGAGGGTGTCATTCACCCTCCCTCCAGTAGCTCACCCAGTGGTAGTAATGATGAAGAGGCGAGAGACAGACGCGAGGAAGAGCAGAGCAAAGGCTGGACACTCACCACTCTGATCCTGTGCCCAATGGCCTTGGCGGGCAGGTTGCTGCTGAACTTGGCGCGGATCATGCCGCTGTTCCCGTGAGCGCGCATCACCTTGCCCCAGATCACGCGTGTCTTGCTGGGCTTGCCGCCAGGAGTCACTGTGTTCCTTGAGACAGAGGGAGAGCGAGAGAGGCCTTAGTCAAACAGCAATTATTCAGGCAGCTCCAAAACTGCAGAGATATCTTCTAACACATAATGAAAACGAGCACAGACATAATCGAGCAAACGTGACCCCCGCAAACACAAAACTAAATAAACAACAACTCTTTAATTTGAATGAGCGACGGATGGTGTATGATGGGATCTGAAGACAGTGACAGGAAAGAGAGAAGAGCTGTGAGGGACAGCGAGAAGGCTAATGTCAATCTTGATAAAAATGGCATCTGTTTCTAAGCAAAGGATAATCTGATAACAAGGGAACAAAAGCCAACCCACCACTAAATGCGGCCACACATCCCCTAACTAACGGCCTTTGACAGAAATGATTTTATTCTTTATTTGAAAGCTGCTCTTCCTTCAGTGCTGCCTGTAATACAGTCATATTCAAAACATCACAATTCTGTATGACACAGGGCTATAAACAAAAACAAGAACCATATTTTAAGCACAAGAGGAAAAACGCAGTTTGCAAGGGAAACTGCCCTGACACACAAACACATTCAATGAAAAATTTAGTATTGGCCCTGTCTATGAAACAATGGTAAGTACCTCATTAAATGTTAAGTGCATAATTATACATCCCTTATATGTCAAGAACACCTATTCTTTTAATATTTAATACGTTTTTTGCAATAACAAGTGGCAGACGAAATGATCAAGTGCCTGCAGGTACAGAGACAAGACAGTTCTACATGCAGATGTGTATTACCGAGCTGCTAGCAGTGTGCCACATGTGTAAATAAGTTTAACCTTCTCCAATTATTAAACACATCATACAGATAAAAAAAAAATCTTAACACTGTTCCAGCTGTGCCTTGTTTGAACCATGCCAGCTCAATCCTCCTGAAACAGACACCAGACACAAAATCTGTGTTTGCTGCTGCACTTAGAGGGCCAGCAGAACTTGGCAGCACATCCACTTCAAGTCCAGCAGCAAAAGAACAAATATGGACAATGCCATAAAACTATACAGCACAGCAGCACCATAAATGTGCTCGGTTTTTCAGAACAGATCTCTAAACAAAGAAGCACGTTTCCTGTCACCAAATCCCTAAACCTTACCGTCCACTAACTGGATTCAATAACTGAAACTGGAAATCTGCCTGCTTAAAGAAAATGAGATAGAGCACTAAAGCAGCTGGGCGAGGTCTTCTATATACAACATATACACACACATGAGGACTTCCCACTACCCACTAGTAAATGTGGACCCAGGTTGGGGAACCGGCTTAAGAGAACTTGTCAGCTTCTCTCTGCAACACTTAAGTGGCATACCAAGAAGAACCTTCACAGGCACACCCAGTTTAACACTGGTGCGCCGGCAGCATTGGACTCACTTCTTGGCCTTGTAGACGTAGGCGCAGCGCTTGCCCAGGTAGAACTCGGTCTCCTCACGCGTGTACACACCCTCGATCTTCAGCAGCGCCGTGTGCTCGCGCTGGTTCCGGAGGCCTCGCTTGTACCCTGTGAAGATCGCCTTGCACCACAGTCTGGGGGGGAAAGAGACCAAGAGCCCTTGTCAGAAGACAATCACAGCCCCAACAAGAGACTGTCCACCCTGCAGCACGATCCACACTCTTCATTGCCCCTTGCAGACACTGCAAATGTTTGTAATTTTATTAGATAGGATCACGGTTTTGATACAAACTAGGTATCTTAAGTGAAGAGCCAACTGGCAGAGATCATTACTGACTGCATGTAAAAAAGACAGCACTCTGATCCATGTCAGGTTTTTAACTGAAGGCTCCTATACAAGTGGGAAAGCGATGCTTATCGCACAGCACTGCTGAAGGATAAGCAATCTAGGAACTGAAGACTGAACCTGAAATCACTGCACTGCATTGCAGTGGCCAAGCTCGGGACACCAGAATCACTTACCGAAGGAGTAATTAGCAGCCAAAGGCTCCCACTTGGATATTAAACTTCACATCTACTTTCTTCAAATACTTGAATCTGTACTGCACTTTTCATCCTAATTTGCATATAGCAGGGGATCTATTTCATCCATCAACTGAGAGACAGCTGCAACTTTCTGCAACCCCACCTCACTGTAGATCAGGTGGAGAAGTGAGAAGAGCATATGGAAGTTAAAAATCACTGAAATGCATCACACCGGGTAATACAGGCAATCACTCAATTCAGAACTGAGCTCTGCTTGTGTGTAAAATAGCCTGCTGTTTTAAAGGGTATATCCCGTGGAATAAAGCACATTGGAGAAGTGTTAGTTTAAACCAGAGATAACCCACCAGTTTGCCACAGCACAGTACCGATCAAACACAAACCCTTCTGCTTCCAAAAAGAACAGATTCTGTTCCTGTTACACTCCCACTGCAGGAAGGTCGATTTTTAAAATTTATTATTCAGCAATGCTCACCAATACAAAGGCAGCTCCAAGAATACCTGATTAGTGAGAAACAAAGGACTCACCTTCCTGGCATTGTGAAGCTTGAGTATTCAGTCACAGCCAAGCCTGGAGATGGACAGGGAGCACATAATCAGCACACAATAAAATCATGTTAGTCTAAAACACAAGGAGCTATACACAGATGACCACTTCTAGGTACGAAAGTTACTTTGGGGGAAAAAAACAACACAACCCAGCTAAGAGAGATGGACCACGGCTGAGGATTTTAGCTCTACATCACGGTAACGCACACTGTATCAATAGTGACAGCTCCTGTGGGAAATAGCAAAGGACATCCGTTTTCTTTGAACACGTACACATTTGCACGAGGAACTACTATCTACACGAAACACATGTAATTCATTTTAAAAGACACTATTGCTGAAGGTTCATGGTCCGGGCAACACTGTGCACTTTCACGATTCTACCTATCTGAGCTGTGAGGGACATGTAACTGCTGGGAAAAACTGCAACAAGTTCAGCCACGATATTACATTAAAAGGGCCTGACCGCCACAGTTCCGGTTAGACACAATCGGAAGCAAATAAGGTGTCGGACTCGGCAGTCGAGAAACGAGAATTCATACATACACCCAAAACGGCAGCAACCGGGGACGTATATGATTTCGGGGTACAAACACCGTGTATATGACTACACACTGCATAATAGCTCCCACCATTAACACTCACTGACCATACAGCAAAACTTCAGTCAGTAAGGCAGAAATGAATAAAACCATCATTTTATAAGAAAGATAAATGGTTTCCAATTTTAAAAATCACACCAGGGTTTTGACAGTTACAGGGCTCGGAGACATTCTTGTATTTTTAAATGGGAATCTAATGAATAAAATTGAGTTTGAACGGCCGAGGCTCAGCTCCTGCGAAGCCGGGGCATTTTACATTTCACCCGAGGGATTCCAAGCTAAATCCACTGAGTATCTCGGCCATCTTCAGCTCAAAGGCTACAGCACTGGTAAAACAAGCCGTATAAGACTCACGGCTGTTTAAGATAAGTAATATTATAGTTACTATACTTTTAAAAACTATTTAAAAACCGGTTGATTCTAAACGCTGTTTATCTCTCTCACCTGTACTGATATCCAAGATGGAGGAAAAAGGGGGGTCCTTAGGGCATGCTGGGAAATCAACACCATCGTCGCACGAGTCGTGACTGAAACAGCGCCTGACTAGAAATGTGCTTTTAAAAGAAGTACACTAGTTTCTTAAAAACATTTTTTAGTTTTAAAAAATCTCAGAAAATATTTAAGTTCCATATGTCCAAAACTAATCATTCGCTTTGCGTTTACAATTTGTTGTAACAGGCAATTTTATAGACTAGCCTTTTTACTTCGCTTACTTGCATTTGTTCCTCAGAAACTAAATAAAGTTTCTTGTCCACTAAAATAAACTAAACATTAAGCTTCAAGTATATACTTCAATATATATATTGTATTTACTAATTTAACATGAACAAAAAAAAGTACATGCAACTGTTAAGCTTGCTCACCACGGTTGTGCGGTTGCCATGGTGATCGGTGTCAACATCGAGCAATTTTCACGAGTTGGAAAAGTAACCTGACTGAAACGGTGATTAATCTTTGCGACAGTATTATTATTTTGTCTTTGAAGTTTTAGGAAAGTTATTGATCAGCAGTTACAGACATCTATTTTAACATATTGGATCGATTCATTTCATTTTTCTTGCAGCAGAATTTTGATTTTGAGATTGGTAGAAATTGGTAACCTATTTGAAAGTGTTAAAAGACTATTTGAAGTCGCTAATGGGGAATGGGAAGTATCTATTGGACCTGCAATGCTTACTGACCTTTCCAGCGTGCACACTGTTAATATTAAAACTTTGATTAGATTCCGGTTTTTAGTGCCGAGTGGGCTTTAGAAGGGACGCCCTGAGACAAACTGTACTGTCAGTTACATTGATATTGACTTTGTCAGTCACACCGACTATACAGTATTAACGTACAATATCATTCAATCTGAGTTTACAGTATCTGCGTAAGTGACATTATTGAAGCAACCTGCATAATTGTACAATCTGCACACAGATCATTTGTACTAAGTTCTCATTTGCATTTGCAGTGCACACGATGTCTCTCCAGTCGTATGTGGAGCAAATCCGGCTGTGCACGGTTCTAGAAGACGGCGCAGATCAACTGGCCGTGCTGGGTCACATCATGCCTGCCACGTACGAGGGGCGGCCTGACGCTGACTCGGTACTCTCTCACCCACAAGTTTGTATCTGTCTCAATGTGTCATGTCTGTCAATGTGTCTCTCGATGTGTTTTCCTTTCTGACATGTTGTCTTCGTGTACCAATATATGTCTCAGAACCCGTAACACTGTCCGTTGTGTGAGTCTCTCAGATTATGCTGGGTCAGGTGTCTCAGTTTCTCTCTCTAGCTGTATGTTGTTCACGTCTGTGGCGAAGAAGACATGCTATTCTAAATTCTAGTTTATACTTATACCAGCCATAGCTAAATAAATACAATTATATTTTATTCAGGAAATCCCCAGAGGGGAAGATTTTAAAAGGCCTTGTTGAATTTTGCAGTGGACGTGAAGGGTTTACGAGTGTTTTATGCCCCTTTATGCAAACTGAAAGTTCAGTTTTTGAATAAAAGTTGAGAATCAGTCATTTTCAATATAGACATATTTAGATCTACATGAATTTGGAGGGCAGCCAGGGTTGAGGACAGGAGGTGCAGGTCAAGAGGTGTGTGGGACAGAGGGAATCATGGGTTGAAATGATGGAGGAGGAGGAAGTGGATGCTACATTGTCTACAGACCAGAGTGAGACCCATCGTTTCATGGTTTAATCTGTCAGATTATGTGTGTGTGTTCAAGTGTCTTTGTGTCTAGGTGTCTCAGTGTGTTTGTCTATCGGATTGTGTCTGCTCACTTTGGGCAGGTGTTGCAGCAGCAGGGGCAGAGATGTATTTCACGGAGATGATGTAATTGCAGTTGCAGGAGAGGGCAAAGCTGGCACAGGTCACGGGGGCACTGCAGAGGACCCAGGTGGAGCTGAGCCGCATGCTTGAGCACAACCCCCTGACCCCCGAGCACCTGGTCAAGGTGCAAAGAGACAGGTCAGTTTTGCAGTGAATGGGCTCTCTCTCTCTCCTGCTGTCTTACTATCTCTCTACTTCCTCTCAATTTCTGGCTCTCTAGCTCTGCAAAAATCTTGCATGCGTTACGGAATTGCATATAACCTAAATCCACTGACCTACTCCTCTGTGGAGCATTCCTATAGGTCAAAAGTCTGAAAGATACAAATAAAAAATACATATGATACAATGTTGAAATGGCAATTTATTTTTGACCCTTCCCAATCTGTTACTGACAGTTGTTGATCAATGTGGCACACACCATTTGATATGCTCTCTATCCCATCTAGATGTGCTGTTTGCAAGCTCTCTAGTGCCTTACAGGAGCATTGGCACTGATTGAACGAACATTATGACTCGCATTGATGGTGCTGTAGGGTCTCCTGCTCAGCCAGCTCAAACGCACTGAATGCTACTGGCATCTAGCATGCTGGGAATCCAGGCATCGAAGAAGATCATGATCCTAGCCCGAATTGTATTGGATACACGACTTAATCTATGATTCAGAATGGTGTTTTTACAATTAAACCACCTGTGAGATGAAATTAAAGTTAAATTTAAACATTGGACAATCAAATCTCTTTGCTTCTCTTTCCCTTTTCTTTCCTTACTCTAATTGTCTGTCCTTCTCCATCTCACTCCTCTCTCTGCCTTTTGCTCTGTGTCCCTCTTTCTCCTCTCTCTGTCTTTCTGTTCCTGCCTCAGGCAGTTTGCAGCACAGGTGATCTCCGACGTCCTGGCTGAGCTGCAGGAAAAAGGCACATTCCAGAGCTTGCTTTTGGCTGTCCAAGCGGAAAAAGAGAGGAAGGCACACCTCCACGACATCATAGTCAGGTCAGCCTCTCAGTTCTAGTCTTCAGAAAGTTTTGGTCTCAGTACCAGGCAAAGTGGACATCGGACATTGACAATGACTTTGTGTGGGCGTGTCTGCATGCGCTTTTTGGCAGGGAAGAGGAGGGCAGACGCAGAACCAGAGCTCTGCAGAGACAGCTTTTGGATATCCGCAAAGAGAAAGAGCTTGAGCTGCAGGTATAAAAACACATTCCAATGAGTGACACACACTATTGCAGTATAATAACTCAAACATGCCCTTGCAAGGATGTACCATATTATAGTGTAATAACATGGGCATGCCATCATTACATACAGTAATAGCTATGCTTTATAACTTATCTGCTCTGTGTCTGACATGTCTCTCTCTCCTCACCCCTCACCCCCAGAAGCGGGAGGAGATGATCGCCCACATGAAGGACCAGCTGCAGGAGATGAAGGCCAAAACTGGGCTGGAGGGGAAGTATGTGAAGAGCAGCGCGGAGCTGCAGGTGTACCAGGGCCAGAAGCTCAATGGACACGCTGAGCAGCAACTGCAGGAGCAGATCCAGGTCTGCGCACAGTGCGTGTGGGTCTTGGTGTGTGTGCATGTGTCAGTCTGTCTGGGAATGTATTTGTCAGTGCGTCGGTCAGTAGATTGATACAGTCACTGCCCCAACAGATCCGGTAGCAGCCAATCACAATGTGTTCTTATCCGAACACAGTGAAGGAGTCATAAAAAAGACCAACACAGTGCTGAAATACAAAGTCATTGTCAAACAGACAGTAACCCCCTTTGTTCTGGTGTTAGCGGCTGCAGGATAAGATTGACCAGGAGACCCGCGTTCACATCGAGATGGAGAGCTTCCTGAAGGAACACCAGAACGTGAGTGTCCTGTGTCTTTATACAGTGCCTTCCACACTCACTCACACCGACTACTGCATTAGTCCCTGTCTCCTAGCTGATCTTTTCCACGTTCTTGAAGTCCTTTCCTCCAGAGCTAACCCCCAGTCTCACAGAGGAGCTTGCATACCCAGACACTGCAGTCCTTCTTAGGGAATGAAACTACAACCTCACAAGACATATGTGATGACATAAAGAAACAACAGTTTTTGCTGTAACCTTGATACCTTTTCACGCTAAAAACAAGTGTTTTTGACACTTGGAACGTCCTGATTGGACTATACAGGATGAATGAGTCCCGAGTCGCCGCACGGATTGTCTGTGAATTTGAAGATGAGTGCTGGACAGATCTTTGGTTTGAAAGCTTATTGATGAAACAGTCAAGAGTTGGGTGCTGACAAGCTGAAATGGATTTTCTGTGAACGTGCCAGTGCAGCTGAATGGCAGGTTAAAGTACGATGTGAGGCTGGACTGGGCGTATTCTGGTGTGCCTTGCAGAGACTGGAGGAGAAGCTAGAGGTGTGGATGGAGCGGTACGAGAGAGACATAGAGGCCAAACAGCAGGAGCTCAACCTGCTGAAAAGCAACAAGACCAGCAACCTGACCCGCCTGCAGGAGCTCGCCAAGCAGGTATACACTACATACATACTACACACTGTAGACGTAGAAGCTACATACAGCACTGTACATAATGTAGATGTAGACTGGATACCCTATAGAAACACTACACACTAGAAAAACACTACATACTTCACATTAAACATACAGTCTTCACCACAAACTGTCTATATACAAATTACACAAAAATACAGCAAAAGAGAAACACAGCACACTATTCACACCACTATAAACTGCAGATACACATGACACGCTGTAAATATACACACTAATATCTACACAATATATTCACAAAACCTGAGGCAGGAGTTCAGAAAATCCTATAACTCTCCTGCAGAATTCTCTGAGTTTGAAGAGTTTGAAGGAGTCCTACAGGGCTACTGCAGTAAACCATGAAGATGTCAAGCCCTGAACACCACTTCTGGGTTGTTTTGAAAGGAGTTCACACTGGAAGCACCTTGACTATACAGTGTAGACACTGTGCACACTGACCTGGCTGTGTGTGTGTCAGTACAGGGAGTGTGAGCAAGTGGTGATCGAGGACCGTGTGGAGAAAGAGAAAGCTCGGAAACAGAGGGAGCAAGAGGAGACGGAGCACAGGGCTGCAGTCAAGGTTGGTGCACATTTCACACCCCCTTTCACCTTAATACCACACAAGGTAACAGCACTCTCTGAAAACAGTAATACCACTGTGATTAAATTAATACTTCACTGATCACATTAATAGCACTGTGATTAAACTGATCTCACTCTGTATTCTTACCCAATACTTTTATTACTGTCTCCCTAGGTATCCGTATCTGTCTTTCGAATACCTCTCTCTCTAGGTATTAACATGCTTCCTTCTCTATATGAATGCCACTCTGCAGATCCAGTCGTGGTGGCGTGGCACGCTGGTGCGGCGGGGTCTGGGCCCCTTCCAGAAGGGCAAAAAGGGGAAGGGCAAGGAGAAGGGTGGAGGCAAGAAGAAGAGAAAGAAGAAGTGAGGAGGACAACGAGGACAAGGACTAAGGAGACGCCAGGCATGCCCACTCTGGTTTATCTCACTCCTGGGGAGGATGTGTGTGTGGGGGGGGGGGGACATAAAGCACTGCTGTTCACTGAGAGTCAAAATTAAAACTGCACTAATACATCTTCATTTCCTGGTCTGTGTGTGTGGGCAGATGCTCACTGATTGCAGTGCACAATGTGTCGTATTAAGCCCTGAATTGCCTGGATAAGAAAAAAAACAGTGCAAATAGGTGAATTCCCAGATTTACTGGATGTTTGTTACTGCTGCTGGCACACACCTGTATTATAATTGGGAAGCCAGGTACATCAGCAGAATTCACAGGATATGTAATTCAAGAAGTACAAGAAGAACTGCAAGCAAAGTTCACAAAATATTAAGACCAAGAAAAAGGCTGGAGGCATTCATCACATTGGGGGCTAAAATAGTTTTTTCAGCACTATAACAGCAAGAAACAATGAAGAAAGAAGTGATTTGGGATACTTTATGGAAAGCAAATTGTAAAGAACAACATTCCTGGAAAATGTTTTAAATTATATGTACTTTTAATATTCATGATCTGTATTCTGGCATTATGAGTAAAGTACTTCTTTTGGTGAAAAAGATGACAAATGATACCAAATTGGAAGAGATTAGTAAACACTGCTGAAGATGCAAATGCAATTTAAAATGACTTGACAAAATCCGGATCTTGGCAAACACCTGGCATATGACATTTAATGTAGATGAGTGCAGTGTCACAAGCAATTAATGAAGGAAATTAAAAATAAAAGCTCCTTTCATTTACATAGTGCTTTTCATGCCAAAGGAACTTGTAATACGCTAATAAGATACGCTTTACAGAAAGGCTAAAGAAGCAATAGAATGTTAGCATGGTGAAAGTGCCCTTTTTTAACTGGGGATATTGCATTGCAATTGTAAAGTGCACTAGTAATACAGAATTTTAGAATATTTTTGTAGAATTTAGTCACCATTACACTTAAAAGATTGTGCTGCTCCTGAATCAGAGAAGAATGATCAAATACATACCCAGGCTCAATGGAATGTTCCAGAGAACTCATTTTTTTAATAATGAAAATAGAAGACCATAAGGAGTGATTCATGCATTAAATACTCTCCATGGCATTACCCACGATACCCAGCCGTGGTGTCAATATAGCTAATCCAGGTCTTTACTTTGATATGTTCTAATGATGTAAACATTAGTTCTTATGATAACTGTGTGATTAGGTGTGAATGTGACAGACAGACTGACACTGTCAGTGCACCTAGTGAGAGGAAGATCAGCTTCAGAGGTCACAGTCTGATGTGGGCTTGTAACACAGCAGGATGCTGGAGGGTCAGATCTCCAGAACCTGAAAAAAAGCATCACAGGACAAACCTCTACATAGGCTTGGAAAACTTATTTTATTTCTTTTTAAATTACACTGAATATTAATTTCAAAAGTCATAAAAATGTTTTCGACTGGTTATATACTTATGTTTTTTTTTCTCTAAATTCTAAAAAAACTCAAAATGACCAAAGGGGATTTTAAAATAACATAATATATATAATAAGCAGTGCATACTTGTAAACGTATGGAATGTATTTATTTACTGTACAGAGTCACGCAGGGGACGAGCCCTGCACCAGGGACATCGCATGATCACCAACCTCACACCCAGATTAGCTAAAACAGCTGAAAATACCTATACAGGAAAAAAATAACATTTAGAACAATAATAGGAAGAGATGACAGCTGTAACATCCCCTTTTAAAAACCCTGCCAATTAAAAAGGTAATAGAAATGGTTAAAAACCATAATTCTTGAAAAATTTAAACACTTGAAAAGCCTTGCTCTGCCTGGACAGCGGTGTTCCCATTAACACAGAAGAACCTGGGTGGGGTGGGGTGGAGCACACATGATCTGTGAGTTACACATGCATGATTCCCAACATGTATGTGGTTGAGCCACAAACACAAAAAAGCCCATTTGTGTAACTGGCCATTCCTCCCAGGTCATTCACAAGTCCTGCCTGTCTTGTGCACAGCGAACAAACTTAGACTAGAAAGTAAACACCGTTTCAATGATAAGAATTGCCAACAATTTGCTGTAAACTTTTGGTTGCAGCCTTGACATGGCAACAACGTGAGAAAGTCAGCCTGTTGCAGTAATGTCTGTGGAGACAAGTCAGCATATGGGTCAGTAACAAGTTTCATCTGAGCAGCCAGCACATGCACATACTGTACGCTGATCTCATCTTCATGCTGTCACGTGTCAGATCTATAACAGCTCTGTAAACATTCATTCATTTTTTTTAAATGAAGAAAGTTTCTATACATTGCATATTAATAATTGAAAACCAGAGTTCTCTTTAAAGACAGAACTCTGTCTTTAACTTTAAAGACAAGTCTCGCTTATCTGGTTTCCACTAGTCAGAACAAAGTGAGTCTGGTTCGGACTTTGGGACACCTCAGGCAGCCCTGAGGTCCTACAGGGTTCCCCACATGCAAACATGCAACCACCCTGAGACCCCCCACCTGAGAGTGGGTGGTGACAGTCACTAGGTATCCTAAAGGACTCCCTTTAGAAAGTCTTGAATCAACACATCTTAGAGCTGGGGAGAAGATGGCTGCCCTGTGCTCTTGCAACAACAGCAGGCTAGAAGTGCACCTACTGACACTGGTTCAGGATTTCAAATGAATATAAAATCCAGTTTAAGTGCTCCCTGTATTTTTCCCTTCATCTCCAGGGATTGTCTGATCCTGATTTCACTCCCTGGAGCTGGGGGACAACCTAATGCCAAGATCAGGAAGGAAAAATGAAAGCTTGATCTTAAAAAAATAACAGTGCTGGATTTGCTTTGTGTTTCAAACAGTGAGCTCTGTGCAAAAGTCTATATCCCCCTCTCACCCCAGGGTTACCTAGCTGGGTAAGGGGGGGAAAACCCAGCAGGTACAAACCTTTGCAAAGCAAGGGAGCATGGTCATTAGGAAAGGCTGGCTTCCTTTTTAAATGCAGCCACCATTAGTATCATGAGCTGCAGCAGTAACTGTTCAATGCAGTGGTCACTCCATAGTGCTGCCGTTATTGCAAAGTACTAACCTTCCCCTGTGGTCCTGCACCTCTGTAGCTCCTAAAGAAGCTAGGGTCTGTGCAGTGATGTAACCCCATCGTTGTGTCAGTCCTGCAATAGTGTCTTTAGTTCTATGTGAAGGGTTACTTGCTGGCTGAGCGTGAGAACTGCAGCTCATCTCAAAAGCTAGCGAGCTCACAGCTAGCAGCAGAGGGAACTACATGAATGAAATAGAATACAAAAACCCTAGAATATAAAGAATACCCACCAACCCATATCCCCTACAACACACAGGGCACTGATCACTAGAAAATACTTTAAAATAATGTTAATCTTAATATAATACAAAAAACAACAGTGCCAAAAGTCATCCTTGGGAGAGAGAGTGGGGGAGGGAGCAGAGAGATGTGGTGTAAATATAAAGATAAAACCGTATTGTAAAGGGACTAACTGGGCCTCCCTCCCTTCTGTTCTCTCACCCTCTCTCTCCTTATACAGTTCCATCTCCGTTAGCATCTGTCAGTCCACCCTGGCGCAGGTCACACAGGCAAGAGTGGAGCCTCCACATCCCCTCTGTCACTCAGCGGGAGGTGTCAGGCAATCCCCCCCATCTGCTGTACCTCTCTGGCTGTGTAGCTGCAGGACCAGAGACTCTGCAGGGTAGTGGGGCAGCAAGGGTGTGCCGTAAGGGGAATTTGGTGCCTCTCTGTTCCAGTCTTGGGGGTGTCAGTGTGAGCCCGGCGGAAGTGAGGGGGGGGGGTGTGTTGCGTCAGTCTCTCTAGGTTCATGAGTTGGGCTGATCGGGGTCGGCAGGGAGGAAGTCCTAGATGGGAGAGGTGGGGGGATGTTTCGGGGGGGCCAGCTCCAACAATGCTTGGACTGTTCCAGCCACCTGGGCCAGACCTCGCTCCTCCAGGATGTGCAGTGGCAGACACAGCTGGGCCTACAGACAGACACAGGAGGGACAGACCCACACAAAACAGGCAGAGAAACAGGGGAACACATGGGAAACACAACACAGGAGCACGGGCACACGCAGAGAAGGACAGACACAGACAGATGCACAGGGTGATGGGATGGGGGTAGGGAACAAAAATTAAACAGAAAAAACAAAACAAAATGCCAGGTCAATGGATAAATAAAAGTTAAAACAACAATAACAAAAGTTGCAAAAAGTGAATCAACTAATGGAAATGAAAGAAATTATATGGAAAAAGAGGAAGGAGTAGGGGTGAAGCCAGCTGCTCAGCCCTGATCCACTTCAGGGTGCTCATGTCAGATGAGGCCAGGCCATCACTCAGCCCATATAATACTGGTTGTGATTTCTAACTGGAGCCCCAACTCATCACTACGTGCATCATATTCAAATACAGGCCTACAATCCTATTACAGGGGGCTGAAGTAGAGGGAACAATTGGAAACAAATAAACAGCACAGTAATTCTGTTTTGGTAGATTTCCTAACTGCTCAATAGGATAGGTCTGAGTTTAAGTCTGTGCCCAGAGCTTAGGGTGGCAGTCCAGGGTTAGCATGAAGAAAGAAGAATGCAGGAAGAGGGATGGAAAAAACAGCAGGAGTGAAGAGAAATCAAGTCAGTGTCACAAACCAGAATTCAGCCAGGCAGAGTTTGAGAGGTCAGAGAGCCTGTAGGCATTGTGTTTATGAACTGCATCAGTGCTGGACCCCTAACAGTATGTGAAAAACAGATGCTGCGAGAATCAGATTTGATTTGATTTTTTGATTTTTATTTTTTTAGGAAAAAGGGCAGAGCCCTGGGAAGAGAGACTGTTAGGTAAACCTTACACAGGAGAAGAGGCACATAGTAGAGAACCAGAGGCACACAGACAGATGGACAGGTCAAGATTATGACAAGCATAAATAGAACAAGCAGTCAGTGACACAGAGGGAAAGGGTATGTAAGCCTATTTAATCCATTTACCTCCCTCTGTTTTTCACACACACACTGCAACACTGTTTCACTGGACCTGTCTGACACACTCTCGCTTGCAGCGCAATCAAACTCATTCCCTGATTTCTTCATTTAGTTAAAAAAAACGCTGCACATCATAACTGTGAAGATACGTTGCACATTCTATAGCAGGCATACTGTGAGCACACCAGTGTGTTAGTGGAATCAACGTGTGCACAGAGTCAAAGCTTGGGAGTCATATGAGCAGTGTGTAGTGGTCAAGGGGCATTGGGGACTGTCAGCTCTCTGCTGGTCAGGGTCTGACCCCCTGTATCACTGTGGAGAGGAAGGGCAGAAGAGAGCTGGTTGGTGGTCAGGTTTGAGGCAGCTAGCAGGGCCTCTTCTCTGAACAACTTTCTGAACGCCCAAAAGGAGAAGTACCAGTCCAACATGCACCTGCAGGACTTTTCACTCACAGAGACTCACAAGAAGAAATAAAAGAAATAAAACTGAACAGGTCTTCGCAGAAGAATCCACACTGGTATTTGCTCCCGCATAAAAAATCTGTTTGAGAGCAGCTGACCTTCTTTGAGAAAACACTGCCAGTCCTCTGTGCACAGCAGTTGTCCTGAACTGACCGGCACCCCAGCTGCATTTACACACGATAAGGCACAGGGGGCAGCAGGGAGCGGGTGAGAGGGGCCACAGGGAGAACACTACTTGTGAAAAGTCTCCACACACCAAAGCCAGGGACTGGGGCCTGGGAAATATTACTATTTCCATCATCCTTCTTAGGGAAAATAGTGATAACAGTCAACGAGAAGATCTGCCACTTCAAAACAAACATTCCCAAAATTAGTGCAATTCTCTTATTTTCGAGAACACTTCCAAAACTGCTTTTTTGTAAAATACCAGCCTTCCTCTTTGAATGTCTGTCAGGCACAAGATGCACAAGGCTGAGTTTCCAGACACTTGTGTGTGCAGCGGAGCAGTCTGCCCAGAGGTCTGGAAGAGGGTTTGTGACTAGATGCTGCTCTTTGCATCACAGTGCTCTTTCCAGCTCGCAAAACATCACCCAGTCTAGTCCCACAGATGGAGTCTCCAAAGAGCTAGAGGCTAGCAAAAGATTCAGCAAGTGCAGGCAGGTCAAATAATTCACACCACATGTCAATGGCATCAGTGCCCTTCTATAAATCTTTCTGAAACCTTGTCTTGAACAAGAATGGGAAAGCGTGATCCATCAGTGCAAAGGAATAAAGATACAAAACATTATAGCTGAGTAACAAGGGACCAGAAGAGTTTTGGTGTCCTGTTTCAGTTAGGAGTGTTGTAAATACTGTCACCCTGACGGTGCTGGTTGCTGCGACTGCTGGGGGTCAGGGTTCACCATAATAGTGACAAGAAGAGAGACAGCAGAGGTCCCGTCAAAGCACAGTCCAACTTGTGGTGGGGGCTACAGGGTTTCCTTTTCAGGATGGGACAGGCTGTAGTGTAGGCCAGTCAGAGTTCACGGGAGACTGCAGATGTGCACAGGGGTTGAATGGGGGCGTTTTCAGTATGGTATATGTATGATGTGTCTTTGTGTGGTGGCTTGAAAGACATAATCTAATACAGTATATCTAAGGTGCATAAAACTGGAATGGGAGCACAGCTGTTTTTGCAAATAGAGGTGTCTGCATTAGGCGCAGTGCTATACAAATATGTTTATCTCTCCCCACAAGTCTAATTTGTTGTGCTTGTATCAGATCCTGTCTGAAGACATGATACTAGGATGCCGTGTGCTCAGTGCACAGGGAAACAGTCTCATGGAAGGAGTCTTGGGGACACATTTTCATGTTTGCCTGTATCGGCACTCTGTAACTGAATGAGGGTCAGGAGGTCCACACACTACTTGTGAAAGTCCAAGAAGACATTAGGATGGAACCGTGTTTTTTTTTAAAAGTGCACATAAAACAAGTGAGAGTGAATGCTATATGCCCATGAATGCCCTCTGCTTTAAAACTTCAAGCTGTGATGGGTCATACACAAGCTATGTGTTATGCTTGAGAAAAATCCCTTACTTTCCAGCCTGTGTCTGTGTGTCCACCTGCTGGGCAGGAATGATGCATGATTGGCTTTTGTGCTTTGTGCTTGCCTGATTTCTAGACAAGTAAGAATGTGTGTGTGCGCAACCGTGCATATCGTGCACATATACCGTGTGACAGAGCACAGTGCGTGCCAGTTCAGAAGCGTGGCACCAGGTGGCAGTAGAGGGCACACAGCAGCGACATGACGGAGAGGTAGAAGAGGGCAAAGCAGGCCAGCTGGCCAGGGGGGGCTGCTGAGGGGGGTGTGCTGAGAGATAGAAGAGCCTCTAGTGTATGATACACGTAGCCCCCCTCACCTCCCAACACTGCACCCACCGAGCACAGTTGTTCCTGGGCCACGGAGGAAGGAGAGAGAGTGGGTGTGAGAGAACAGGAATGGAAGGGAGAAATGGGATGAGAGATGGAATATTCACACGCGTCGGTAGGGATGATGAAGAATGACAATTTGGAAAAGATGGGAGAGGATGAAGAAGAGGAGAGATAAGAGTGGCAGAATCAGACAAAATCAGGGCAGCAGAGAAAACACAGGGACGGGTAAAAGGGGAAAAAAGTGAGAGAGGGTTCAGGACAGACAGCAGAGCAGAGAGGGAGGAACGGAGAAAGACAGAGCAGGAGAGATGGAGAATGAAGTAAAAAGGAGGAGGAAGAAAAGGGGTTAGAGAAGGGGAGAGAGAAAGAGAGAAAGCCTGTTAGTAGCATACAGCAGGCCACGGTTAATACAAGAAATCTCTATATTCACTACAACTACAAGAGTCAAACAGTGTTGGTATACAGACCTGTCACATATACGTACACACACAATCAACATATTTCATTTCAGAGCTTCGCAAGTCTGGATGTGTACTACAGAATCAACAACTGCCTGACAACAGGACCTGACCTGTAATGTCTGTGTTCATCAGTCTCAGTGCCTGTCAGTCAGGCAGTGTGTTCGCCAGTTTCAGTGTCTGTCAGTCAGATCAAGCGTGAATCTGTCAGTCAGCTATCAGTCAGGAGGTGAGTCTGTTTCGTCAGCCAGGGAGAGCACCTGTTCCTCTTTGCCCTTACCTGTGGCACTCCAATCCTCCGACACGCTTCTAAGAAGTTTTCGACGTTCCGCCGACACTTCGCCATTGTCAGTTTGGGCTGCAGAGTCAGAGACAGGCATTTTGACAAGGTTACACAGAGGCTGGCAAAGACAAAGCAGGTCGAGAGACAGGGCAAGATGTGTAGAGGTAGAGAGCAGGAGATGGTCACAGGGAAGAGCCAGAAAAACTGATGATGAGATGACAGAAAGAGAGGTCAGCTGACAGAGGAAACTGACCACATACTTCCAGAATGACAGACTTGCACAGATGTTACTGGTGGACAAAGGCATGAACAGGTAGAAATGGAGACAAACAGATGTATGAGCAAATGACACTAGCTGGCAAGAAAGACAGAACTGATAGATAGATACTTTATTGATCCCGTGAGGGAAATTGCAGAATACACAGCCTATTAGAAGGGCTGAAATGGACAGAAAGACTCTTAAGGCGACAGAAGTACTGACCACAGCAGGCGAGGGCACGTGGATACTGGGCACAGAACGTGGCCGGACATGGTTGGCCAGGTGGCAGAGCACCACGCCGTCCGTCAATGCTGCCCCCAGGTCACTGGGCAGTGACACCTTCAGCCGGGACTCGATGCTCTGGGGGACACAACACAGCTGTGAGAGGGTATCTCTACAGTTCTGTGCACAACTGTGGGATTGGCCATCAGGCACGTACTTGAGCTGCATCACCCACCACACCAGAGCCGCCCAGGCCAATTCTGCAGCAGGCTTGCAGATGGCAAAGCTGAGGCTAATGTGTGAAGTGATGACGTAGTGGGAGCAACAGCACCATTTTTAATTTAAAACAAAAATGTAAGGTCTCTTACAACCAATGTTAACATGGTCAAGGTATTAAATATGCATTATTTTAACCTACTAGTTTAGTTGGAGTACTTTAACGAATGAACAGTTCAGAGGGGATGCTTTCTTGGACTTACAGAAGAGCAGTGATTGAGCTGTTTCTAAGATCAAAACCGTAAATACCCAATTTAATTTCATCTACAGCAACTACTATTTCTACGGTGACCAAATTATCTTTACATGAAAGGTCATGCTGAGGACTGTTACTTTTATTTTCTCACTCATACAAACCTCACCTATTATCATCCCATCACTGCAGCTTTCACGGGTGATCACAAGCAGACGAAAAACAAACGTTTAAATCTTAAGAGGACAGAGTCATGATCAGAACAGTCTGAGCGGAACGGAGAAACACACCTTGCGCAGCTGCTCCACGAGCTCAGCCTCCTCCCCCTGCGCAGCACTGCTGGGAGGACTCACGCCGCCTGACTCTGGCCTGATGGCCGCGGACCCTGCCGCTGGGAGCGAGACAGAGAGAGACGCTCAGACTTGGAGCCTCCGAGAGACCCTACACGACACACAAATTCAATTCCTGCTCTACACAGACATCCAGGTCCCGCTGTCACCCACACAGTGAAGCCGAGACAGAGACAACATTTAAAAACCAACAAAGGTCATGGTCTTCCAGAAAAAAAAGGCTAGGAGCTAGGAAAACCAGTACCACGTTATCCTAGGTAACACCACCTTAGAGCACAACTTGACCTGATGATGATGTCAGGGAACTTTGGCTTAGCAGAAAATTACTGAAAGAAAAAAAGGCTGCAGTGTCTTATGCCATCAGAAAATGGTACAAAATAAATATACATTTTTAGATTTGGTCAGAAATCTTTAGTGTTATCCTGCCTATTGAGGTTTGAGGTGCATTCAGTCAGCAGGACTACACACAAAGGACAAGCGCTCAGCACAGACGCTGTTTACAGAAGTCTACCAAATCACTGTAAGCAAAAAGTGAAGCAAAAAAAACACTTAATGCACGCAGAGCTGAATTAGGCCAACACCCACATAAAAGTAACCCAAATGACTCCTGTTTAAAACCAAGAACTCAATCTCAAGAGTCCTCTCAGATAGCAGGCCCTGAAGCTCACTGCAGCCTGTCACAGCCTGAGGGACACAGTGAGACCCTCTACACAGACAAATCCCAGGGGTTAAACATGTCACATCTGAGAGACAATGAGAAACTCCACGCAGAGACACCCCTGGGGTTCAAAGTGTCATAGTCTGAATGACACAGTGAGGGCTCTGCAAACATGACACAGAGACACCTCTGTGGTTCATACTCAATGTTAAAGGTTACTCCTGGTAACACATTTTTATTTTACATATTACTACAGAATATTGTTGATTCTTCTGTCATTGCTATTATATCCTTACTTTGTATTTGCCTATTTGCTCTGGCATGTAATTTTGTATTTTATTGTCTGCTTTATTGTTATAATGAACAAATCTCTTTAACACTTTTATGTATGTTATGCTTGTAAGGCATTTCTGAATCTGAGAATTTAAAAACTCAGAAGAGACTGAGAAAAGCACGCAGACAAAGCACAGTTTATACTGCTATGTACTGGTTTGTAAAAAGTCATTTGCATTTAAAATGAAGTCTTCGCATCATATGTTTATCAGGAGTTCTGATCTTTGTGGGGATATCTGCTGCAATTTTATCTCCACATTGACAGTTACACTGTATATACACACAATGAGGCTACACGCACTGGCTATTCAGATAAACAGTTTGAATAACTATGTTCAACTCCATTTTGCAGTGCTGATGTTCCATGTAGGCAGATTGTTCTCATGGTGTGAATTTTTTGTCCAGTGTACAATCCTAACAATAACCACTTTGTTGCTCTACTCCTATGTTTGGTGAATTTGAAACAAATGCAGCCCTGGCACCAACCTTTGTTTAAGTTCACCAGCATAAAGTTCATTTACAGCTCATAAAAATGGGAATACAAAGGATGGCACCTGGTTGGACTGCATCGCAAGTTCTGGTACTGGAGGCAAATGCAGGGTTACACATAATACCTCCCATACAAAAGCTTGCATGCAGAGGTCAGAGGTCATGACCTCCAGACCTACCTCTCCTACTCTCCTCTCTCTTGCTGAGGCGAAACAGGAAACTGTCAGGTCGGAGGGCGGGACCTCGGAAAGGGGGTGGGGCAGCAGAGCCAGGGTAGGAAGGCGATTGGAGGGCTGCAGGAAGACAGGAAGCAGATGCACAGGAAAGGGGCAGGGCAACAGCAGGGTGATCAACACAAGAAGGTTAGGGAGAAAATGCTAGAGCAGCTGGGCAGCGCAACTGGGGAACAAATTAAAACATACAGGCTCACAAACACACACAATCCCCCTACAGGCCCCTCACTGTATCTGCAGACAGTGCTTTATCCACATAGAACATGCTGCAACATCCTACTCTTAATCAGTACTGTGACCATTACATAAACCAAAACTAAAGAACAGATTACAGTAAATCTTAAAAAAAAAACAACAAAGATTGTGAATAAATCCAAAAAGGACAATTATAAAGTACATAGTAATAGACATGTGTGCAGCAGAGGGTCCTGGTTCAGAGATGTGGTGTCTGTGTCCACACAATCCTCTTCCTCTCTGGGGCTGCGGTGTCTGGCACTCTTACCTGAGGGTGGAAGAGACGAGCTGGGAGACAGGGTAGAGCGGTCTTCACTCTGCAGGGAGAGGTAGAGAACAGCAGACAGTTATTCAACCAGGACTGAATGACGGTGTAAGAGTTTCAAAACCCAAGCAGATGAGAAAGAGATAGAGAGACAATAACAGAAAATGAATGTCTGAATAAAGATCAGATTCAAAAAAGCACACAAAGTTTGTAAAGACTGTGTACGAAGTGTAAAAATGTCTGCATGGTGTCCAATGAATGTGTAATGCATTGTATGTATAGTGTTGTGCCATGGATTTATTTTGGTATGCTGTGTGTGAAAAATGTGCTTTGTGTATGGTGTGCAGTGTGGTTTTGCTGTGCTGTGTGTCTGTGATGTGGTGTGCGTACACTGAGTGCAGTATGTTTGTCCTGTAACAAGTATGCCATGATTGACACTAGGTGCAATACCTGCAACGAACAGGAGAGGGCAACCTGTGGAAGCTTAGCAGCAGAAACATCAGGAGGAGAATGCGGAGTACAGCCGTCATGGGATGTCCCAGAGAGAGACTGAAGAACAGAAGGTAGCAAAGATCAAAGTGAGAAACAAAATGACAGAATTTGAATGGGAGGAAAAGAGTAGAAGAGAAGAACAAAAGAAGAAGGAAGAAAAAGGGCCAGCCACAACCAAAGAGTAGGCAGGTACAGAACAAGGGTGTCACAGTAACAGCAAGAATAACACTGTATGAGCACAGTGCGGGCAACCGTGGCACAGTATATTACTTTATACACAAGCAGTGTGTATTGTGTAAAAACACAGGCAGAAGTGTACATGTGTCACAGTGTACAGACGCAAGCAACGTGTATGTCACTGGCACTGTACAGACACAGGCAGTGTGTGTTACTGTACAGACACAGGCAGTAAGTGTGAGCACATCACTATGTACAGATGCAAGCAGTGTGTGTCACTAAGTATAGGCACAGGCAGTGTGAATGGAACTGTACAGACACATGCAGCACATCACTATGTACAGACGCAAAAAGTGTGTGTCACTGAGTACAGACAGTGGTAGTATGAGTGTAACTGTACAGATGCAGAGAGTGTGTGTAACTATGTACAGACAGGCAGTAAGTGTGAGCACGTCACTGTGTACAGATACAGGCAGTGTGTGTGCCACTGTGTAAAGTTGCTGGCAGTGTGTGTGTTACTGTACAGACACAAGCAGTAGTGTGCTTATGTCACTGTGTACAGTCACAGGAAGTGTGTAACTGTGTAGAGACGAGGGCAGTAAGTGTGAGCACATCACTGTCTAGAGACGCAGGCAGTGTGTGTGTCACTACATACAGATGCAGGCAGTGAGTAACTCAAGTCACCTGCTTGTGGGTGCCCGGTCTCCTCTTTATGGTGTTGGTGTTATTGTCTATCTCAAACACCATGAGGGGCTGATAGCCGTTCTGCGCAGTCAAGGTCAGAGGAACAACAGACAGAAACAGAAAAACAGAGAGGCTCTGAAAGGCAGTACAGACCGAAAAGCAGATGTACAGAGCAGAGAGGACAGGGCAGCTGTCATTCAAGTCAGTCAGGCGATGGGTGAAGGCCCAGCACAGAGCCAGCACAGCTGTGGGGAGCTGCGCTGCAGAGACACTGACGATATAACAGGACATTTATATTTTTCCCCCAAGTCATGCAAGCTGCATTCTCTTAGATCAGGACATCTGTAACAGAGAGAGATGGGTTTGTCTGGTCGGACTAGAAACACAGCTGTGGCAAGATTTATTGGAGTGCTGTCAATCATAAAAAAAAGGTTGAGTGCCTTTGTGTTAAACAGATACTTCCACAATTCTGCACACACTCCACAACTCAAGCAGAGCAGTTTGTGAACCAAGCACACAAGCACCTGTGAGTCAGAGTGGGTTAGCCCTCAGAGACACATGCTTATGTTTCACAGTGGGCTAACTGTCCACTCCAGAGAACCTGAATCAGATGACTCATTTGCCAAATGGGAACCTCTCAGTGCCTCACTTACCCACTAACACACTGGGCAGTGGGGTTTAGGCTGGTTCAAGCTACTGCCTTGGGCTTTTAAAATCCAGATATGCCATCCTGGGGCAATAAGTACACACAACACGAAGAAGAGGGAGGGAAAAATGGAGGGTGACGGAGGGAGATGTTGAAAGAATGAAAGGGGAAGGGCTGTGGCTCTGTGGTGCTCAGGTTTCAAGACAAAAGAGAGGGGAGAGTTGCTGCATGCAGAGTCAGGGCTGGACATGCAACGAAAGCCAGAGTCTCCAGGAAAGTCACGTGGGCAGAGGGATAAGCAACGAGCCAATCAGATACAGGGGCTACAGCTGCAGCCCCCTTCTCTGCGCACAAGCTGGACAGTCAATGAGAGCTCCTCGGCACTACACTGGAGACCAGAGTGACTGTTAGCCAGACAGAGAGACCAACATACAGATACAAAGACTCTCTGATCAATTTATTGATTGCTCCATCGATATGCATGCAAATTTTAATCACTATGTTGGTGGCAGAGTAAACTACAAGCTAAAGACTGTGAGAGAGATGGATTGGCATCACTCTGTGGAGGCATGCTCTTACCATGAAGAGGGCGGAGTCGTCCGTATGTGTGGAGCGCCTGGAGGGGAATGAGCTCTGGGGGGGAGGGGAGACAGGGAGTGAGGTCACATAGAGGGAGGGACAGTCAGGTGGGCAGAAGAGGTAACGCAGGGGAGCCTGGGACATGTACAGTCATATTCACAAAATAAGTCCTGCTACTACAGGATCTCTTTTTCCCTTCACCAGTGTGAAAAGCCTCTGCCCCACAGTAGGCACTCCCCCCCCACCCATCAGATGGATGCACTACGAGCTCTGCAAGCGCAGCAAGAGTAGCACGTCTCTCAACAACCTCACTGCACGCCTGCAGGCGCCCACCAAGAATTTGCACTGTTTATTGGAAAACCGAGAGAGCCCAGCATGAGTAATTCCAACCCAACAGAAATATTACCACTTTCTCACAGCTGTGTTACCACCTTAGAGCCAAACTCAGTGTTACTCCTGGTCAGCACTGGGCAGGGAGACTTCAAAGGAAAACCCAGCTGCTGCTGTAATCAGTGGACCTTCTGGAGAAATTCTAAACCATTATGCATACCATGGGTCGACAGTACAGGTGTTGTCAGAGATACTGTCCTTTGGCTGACACATTAAACCGTGGGTCTGTCTACTTGGCTATTAAAGATCCCATGGCACTGTTCATAAAAGCAGGGGTGTTAATCACCATGCCCTGGCCAAATTCCACTCTGAGCTTGTAAAAGTCTGGCCTCCCAAAAAGTTCTGAGGTCCCCAGGAGTGAATTCCCTCCCTCAGGCACTCTTGGAAAGAAGCATTTAAAAAAGAAGTATGAAAAAGGGAAATGGTATGAGAGTGTGGGAGATGGAAAGAGTGAATATGAATACGAGACAGCAAGACAGCAGTCCAGAGCAACTCACCTCGCTATCTGTGGGACTCTGCTTTGAGGGACTCTGAACTGCTTTGTGCTGAAGAGTAGAAAAACAAAACCATTATATCACAGTGGAGTGCGACCAGCGCCCTGTAATGTGTCAGAGGGGATAGGGCCCCCTTTAAATCACTGGCATAAGCTGGGGGCCAGTTTAAACCAGTGTTGCACAGACCTGATGTGTAACTTGTAATGATTTGTAATGCTCAGATAGTTGAGAAAATGGTATTTGATCAATATCTGCTTCTAATCAAGTGACCTACTTGTTACACACTGTGACCCCTCCCTTCTGCTTCAGCTCATACACACAGATTGCTCTGGTGTGCTTGAGTAGTACATCCCCATATTCTTCGTACTGAGAATCCAGGTCATAACTGTAACACCTAATCAAATGGACATTTTTCAGATACATGCAAATGAACTTGCTCAAATATCAGAATATGTTTCTCGGCGCTAGTTTAGACTCTTCTCCACGGGTGTCTTGTGTTTTAGTGCTAGTGGTACAGCACATCTGTGTTTCTTGGTGTCAGTGCCTCTCTGACCTTGACGTAGCTGAGCATGGCGTCTCTCTGCAGGTGCCGCGTTCGTTGCCTTTCCTCCTCGTACTGCAGCGCTGCGATCTGGGCCTCACGCCGCACCCTCTCCACCCCTCCTGACATCCGCTGAGACGGGGGGACAGGGAAGAGCAAAGGGGTGGGCATGGAATTCACTGATCCACGGGAACCCAATTATTGTCACACATGTAAACACACCAAGAATTTGCAGTACCTGGCTCTGAGCAATAGAGGGCGATGTACTCCCACTGTCCACTAGGCTTCTGAGAAAGACCGAAAGAGGATGAGAGAAGTTAGGCAAGAGCCCACGGCACTCAGCTTTATGAGACGTGCTCTTTGTGTTCAGTACTGGCACAATGAGTGCACAGTATACTGTCTGCACAGGTGTAGGGTGTTCTCTGTGTGAATAGTATCAGTGTAGTGTGTGGTGTGCTTTATACTGTGCAGTATGAGAGGAGCTCTTAGAACAGTGTTAGTACAGTGTGAACGGTATGGTTTCTGCACCTGCTGTGGAGTATGGGGTGTCTCCGGGGGTCATCTGTCCGCAATGGGTCTCTGGTGGGACTGGACTTTACTGGAGAGCCCTGGAACCACATAAGAGGGTCAGCTCAATGTTTCACTACCCCATCCTGTTCTTACACTCTCCATCTCACTTAAACACCACAGACCTCTAAGGTTTTTTTAAGTGCTAGCCACTCACAACTAAACAAAAGTTAAGGTTGCCATTTCAAATCTTTATGGTCCAATAAAAAAATACGAGCTTCAAGTTTTCTTCTCTGTAATAATGTAACCAGCTGCATTCTTTCAGCCAGGGTGGCTAGGATTAACACTATGGTTCTGGTGTAGGTGCAGTAGTTCTACTGCTTACAGCAGCTGTTGCCTTGTGTATATATGATAACTGTGCATGCTTTTAGCTCAGAATGTATGGAACTCAGCTGCTTAGAAAGTCAATTAAGATGCAACCTTCCAATGAGTCAGAAGATATTGCACTTCAGTTCCCAGGACAATCTGATATGAGATGTTTAAGATGCACTTCCTGCACAGATACTTATTCTCACAGCATATACAATCAAAACAAAATCCTCCCACAATATAACTTTGGTTCTCTGGAATTTACTTAAATATTTCCATTGGCCTTTTGATGTAGGTTACATTTGTAAACTGCTGATTATTTTTACTAGCCAAGATGAGAGATTTGTTTGTAGGGCTTCATCACCTCTCACTCACTCCCAGTCATCTTCAAACTTTCTCTCCACTAACACCTCTCACCTACACACCTCGCCAACTTACTTAGCTTACTACGTACTAATTTATTTGGATGACCTTTATATCCCAGATGATTTACGCTTGCACCTCTTAATACAGCTTAAGTATATTAGTGGAACAGTTCAGGTTTCAGTAATTCCTTGCTCTCACCTGGGATTTGAACCCACCACCTTCCAGTTACAATTCAGGAATCCTAACCCTATACCCTCTTCAGTGCAGAGCAGTCTCTCTCCCCTGCAGTGCCTCCTGTACTGCCGTTCTCTGCACCACACTCACTGTATCATTCATTTCATGTGCTTGTTCTCCTAGCTTTCAAGTTCACAAACATCCGCTTAACGCATCCTTTCTTTCCATCTCTCCCGCTACCTTCTCCAAACCCCTCCCTTGTTTTTCCCGTCCTCCTCCCCCCTCCCCCCACCCCCTTCCACCTGCGGCTCTCTCTCTTACTTCATCTCACACACATCCTCTCATGTCTCCACTCCCCCTTCTCTCTACCTCTCTGGTAATCCTCCTCTCTATGTAAGCCATGAACTGTGAGCTGAGGCTTGCTGGCTCCGCCCCTCTGTGCCGAGACTCCTCCTCCTCGTCCTCCCCTGCGCAGCTGTCAATGAAGTCTATCTGTTCCAGCTCCGCCTCCACTGGGACACATGGACAAACCAACACAGTGAGACATTCTGACACAAAGACTGAGAGACGGACCCAGAGAACCGATGGTAAGACAGAGAACGTGAAACTGATTATAAAATGAGACAAGCAGATATACATGGGGTGGAAAGATGCAGTGAGACAAAACACAATCAGCTGATGAACAGATAAATGATGAGACAGTTACACTGAAGCACAGACAATGGTATAGTTGGACACTGAGACAGTCAATCACAGAGACAGAAGGGGTAATCAGCCCAAACACATACAGATAATTCGAGATAGAGATGCAGAGAGTTAGGTGCAAATTCCCCCAATCACTTTTTCTCACCTGTACCATTGGATACCAGTGCCCCAGTCCTACTTTCCTCTCTTTCCCTCTCTCTCCGCTGTCTCTGCTCTTTTGTGATCTCCGCCACTCGCAAGGGAAGGTCCGTCAACTCATCCGTGGGCTGGGGAGACGAGGAGAGGGAAACGGAGGAATGATGGAAAGAGTGAACGAGATGACTACGAATGGAAAAGCAGAGCGAAAACAGGGCAGATCTCATATAAGAGTTAAGAGAAAGAGGAGACAGAGGCTGACACCTCACCAGTGGGACACACATACAGTGCTGTGAAAAAGTAAGTATACCCCATGAAAAGGTGTGTTTTTCAACATATTTGCATGTATGGATATTTGATCTTCATTTCAACAATACTGATAGATAAAGGTGATGTAATTTAACAAATAACATTCTTTGCAATCATTTATTCAACAAAAAAAGTCAGACATGCAATTGTATGCTGTGGAAAAAATAAGTACACCCCCTAGCTTCAATAGCTGGTGTTGGCCCCTTTGGCAGAAATCACTTCTTATAGGTGTTTCTTGTAATTGTCTATCAGTCACCTACATCGACTTGGATAATTTTTTGCCCACTCCTCCTAACAGAACTCCTTCAACTGTGTGGTGTTTGAGGGCTTTCATGCACGTACTGCCCCCTTCAAGTCCCCCCACAGCATTTCTATGGGGTTAAGATCTGGGCTTTGACTTGGCCATTCCATAACCCTCCATTTCTTCTTTTTGAGCCATTCTTTTGTGGATTTGCTTGAGTGTTTTGGGTCATTGTCTTGTTGCAAGGTCCACTTATGGTTCAGCTTCAGCTTTTTGACAGATGGACTTGCCTGTAAATCCCTCGATGTTATCCTGGGGTTCTTGGAGACTTCCTGCAGCATCTTTCGGTCAGCTCCTGGGCTGAATTTGGTGGGACGACCTGGCCTGAACAGATTGCCATTGAAATTGTCTCCATTTGTAGATGATCTTTTGGACAGTGGAGTGATTGACTACAAATTGCTTGGAAATGGCTTTAAAACCCTTCCCAGACTCATAGGCATCAATAATATTTCTTGTGAGGGCCTTAGAGAGCTCTTTTGATCTTGACATGATGTAGCCACACACCTCAATTGCTAAGACCAAAGCAGACCACAGGTTTCGGATGTTTATATAAGGCAGTGCCCTCCAACTTACTCTCTATTGATTTTCTATTAATTTTCACCTGTTTTGGTGCACCTGATCCTAACTGTAGGCATTTGATGCAATGATAAAGGTAGGGGTGTACTAAATTTTTCCACACAAGGAAATTTAATTTCTGTTAATTTAAATAGTACAAATGAGTGCAAAATGTGATTTTTCAATGTTATTTTTTAATACTAAATCACCTTTATCTATCAGTATTGTTGAAATGATAAACAAAAAATCCTTTTGTCTAAAAATGTAAAAAAAGACAAACCTTTTCATGGGGTGTACTTACTTTTTCACACCACTGTACATAAACATAACACAAACTGGAATTCTACAAGGACCTAAAATGAACATACATACTGGCTGAGCATCTGACCAAGATGAGAGACAACAAGGAGAACAAGACCTAGACAAAGTACAAGCTAAGTAACTACAACCTGGACACAGAAACTGAGTGGCACAAGCAGATCTGTCTGCGCAGAGAAGGGAAGGCTGTGCCAGCAGAGGAAAGCAGAGAGAGAGCTGCACTTTCTGCTACACAGCAAGAAATATCATGGGATTACACAATGTTTTCTCAAAATAACCACCCATCCCAGAATTTCCAGACATGCCACAATCAGAAGATTTTCCACTCCTATTGGGGGAGGGAGGAGGAAACTCAATACAGCTGGCAGTAAAGCATGTGATCTCCTGTCACCACCAGAGGAACAGACAGTGAGCCTCTTAATAATTATTATTACGGGGGACAAGGTAATGGGAGAGGAAAAGGGGAGGGAGTTACACACAGAAGACAAAAACAGGCCAGTAAAGGCAGATAGTAAATGAGGACAGTGTGGGGGATATGACCAACTGCTTTAGGCATTCCAACTGTTAATAAGTGTAGCTCAGAACATCATTTTTACTCCTCAGTTTGTGTTTGCATTATGGAGTGTACTCCCAGCCTGCAGATGTTTTAGAGGCTGTATCCTCAGACAGTATATGCGCTTGTGGTCCTCTCACCTCGTTCCCTGACCACCGCTTGTCCCCACTGTCCACACTGTTGAACCCAGAGTCCAATGCTCCATATAGCCGGCCAGGATATAGATCCTCCATGCTGAAAGAGAGAGGGGAGCATAAATGTAAACTTCACTGGTTATCAGGAGGTTCCTACAACTGTGAACATTCACTATGTCATGCAATGCAAATATAAAGCAATGTTTGTCAGAACAGCATTTAAAGTGGTACACTAGTGTACTGAACAACATGTATATTCTTATAATTGATTTGTGATAGGATGGTGTTTAAACTGGGGGAAAATATTTTTTAGATTTTAATTTGATTTCAAAATTAAATTTTGTTATGCTAGTTTTATACTAATATTTGAACCCTGTTTGTGCAGTATATGTGCATTTTCAATACATAAATCAGTAATTATGACATTATTCTCACACACATATACCCGTTTAAGGACATGGGACCAGCATTGAACAACTTAAGTAAAAATCACCCTTACTGTTTACTGTGATTCTCTCAAAACAGAAAAAAACAGACCAGGCAGTTCCAGACAGGTAAGTAATGATGGTCAGCCCTGCAATCTAATTAGCAGCAGAATCAGCTTGTTTTAATCTTAAGACACACTAAATTGTACAATTCTGTGTTCCCCTAAGCTAAAGCATTTTGTTTAAAGATTGCTGTACTTCCAAGTATTTTAAGTCCTCCATCAATTAAAAGAAACAAATTAAAGGGTAACCCAGTGGCATTTATGTCAAGAATTACGATAAGGCAGTTTTTGTCTTCATGGAATTCTTACAGTGTAGTGCCCTAGGGTTCCTGTACTGCTGGCCCGCCTTGTGCCAGACCGACTCAATCTGGCTTTACTCTGTAGTTTTGAGAATCAAGCCTTTGTTCAGCCCTGAGTGTAAACTCTATGAAATCACTCACATGCTCCTCTGGAGACACTGCCTGTCTGTGAGGCAGCATGCTGATGCCCTCCCCGCAGAAGTGCAGCTGCACTGTGCTGACTGCAGACTTTCATTTCATTGCTTAACACTTTCTGTGGACCCAAGATATTTTAAGCTGGGCCTGTGTGACTTAGAGAACCTGTTTCTTTGAAACATTTGCATAAAATACCTGAAGATACTGTCCCCTCAGCTCTTGGAGCTGTTAGGTGTTACACAGGGCAGCTGAACACACTAACAACGTAGTGAAGAAAAGACCCAGGTATTTTTATAAATTTGAGACCACCTTTATTTTCCTTTTTACTCCCAACCATTTTGGAATGGCCTGGGTCTGGACTCCTGACCTGAGAAAGGTGCTGTACCCTTCGGTAGGGTGCTTTGCCCAATACTGTTCCAGCCACTTTGGAGAAAAGCAGCAGATAACTCTGCAAAATATTCATCATGTGACTTGACATTACAGCTGCTCCTCCCGCTGTGCTCGGGCAAGATTCAGCCATGCGGGTGTGCTCCGCCAATATGCCCACCTGTCAGAGTCATTCCTGCCATGACACACTGCAGCTCTCTGGAGCCTGACAGGAAAAGTCCGTTCTTAGTGGAGGAAAGGCACATCTTTTATTGATTTTCCTGCGGTCATCACAAGCTCGCAGGAGCCTGGAGAGTCCCAGGAGACCTGGCCCAAACAACTATTTTGGCTTATTGGGCACTGCTGCCTGGGGAAAGGCCGTCACAGACTGCTAGTGACACGGCCCAGGTGGGAACCAGAGCTGTCAGGACCAAGTAATGCCGAAGTCAACGCCGTGGTGGGGTGGAAATGATCCATATTCAATACCAGGGGTGATTTAAACAACCAGGCCTAGTTAAGTATTCCCCTTACGTAGACACTGGGCTGGACTGAATGTAACTAGGCTCAGGTGGGTGTGACCAGAGTGCTATAAGGTTCCCACTTGTCAACACCTTCCCAAATGTCTCTCCATCTATCTGGATTCTCCTTACTTGTTTCTCTCTCTCTCCTCAGGACCCTTCCTCTTACAACTGTTTTTGTTATTTTCTCTATCCACCTCTCCATATTTCCTGCCCCATCCCTGCCCAGCCGTCTCTGTCTGTTTCTGTTCCTGTCTCTCACTCTCTCCGACATCCTGTGAATTTCCAGCTGGGAGACCCTGTTATTACCCCCTCCCCCAGCCCAGCTGTCTCTCAGAGTGGCACAGCTGTTTCCTGGGCTGCCTCTCTCTCCCGCGCCCTCTGTTCCTTATCCCCGCTCTTTCATTCTTATCCTGTCTCCCTCCCTCCTGCACTCCTTCCCTCTCTCATTGTCTCTCTCTTCCTCATTATTAAGCTGTGGGCAGAGGGGTGGGTGTGAAGAGAGCATTTAAAATTAGTATATACAGAGTGAATGCAATAAGTCAATTCAGTATGCACTTACAGTGTTCTTCACGGGTGCTATGCAGTAGTATCAATGGAAAGTTTATTAAAAAAACCTTAGCCAATTGATCCTAACCCACCCAACTTGAAATGTTTTTCATTTTGACTTTAACAGTTAATGAACTATACATATATACAAAGATACCAGAACTGTATACAAATGCCTGTGTGTGTAGTATTATTAAAGCACATGTCTGTGTTTGTACATCATTAGTATTTGTGTGTACAGTGTGAAAGAGTCTAGTGTGTGTGAAGGTACCTGTAGCCTGCGTCTGCTTTGTTAAAATCTATTTGTACAGCATGAGCCTGTGCGAGTATTTTATCCAGACAAAACAAAGTGCTTCAGTGTGTTAGCATGCCTGTGTGAAAAGTACATTAAGAATGTATGTGTCCAGTATTAGAGAGCTCGTCATGTGTGTACAGCATGTCAGAGCCTGCCTGTGAAGTGTGTCAGTGTTTACAGCATCTGTCCTTTAGTCTGTTCGTGTATACAGTGTTATAACATGTCTGTGCACAGCATAAAAAGTAAGAAGACAAAAAAAAACATTTCAGCAGTAAAGTCTCTTATGTTATGTTTGATCTCCACAGCTGAAACACTGATTTTGTTTTTGCAGAACCTTTATGCAGAATGTGTAAGGTGTATGTAGCAGTGTGTATACTGGGAGAAAAGTGTGTGATGTACAGTATGTATAGTGATGTAGCAGTAAACAGTGTGTGAATCTGAGTAATAGTCTGTGTGTGACTGATCATGTACTGCCACCAATATGATACTGCAGGGACAACCCCATAATTAAGTTTTTTTATAACCCAGCTGTACCTTGTGTAAGTTACCAAGTGTCAACATCATGTGTTTTGGGTCTACTTTCACTCCAGTGGTGCTTTTGAGTGCAGTTAAGTAGTAAATAACAGAATGTGAGACAAAGGGAAGTCCCTACTGAAGCAGGAATACAAACAGGTGTGTGTGTGTGCAGTGTGAGCAGCAAAGTTACCAGGAGCCGAAGCCTAGAGGTCGGCGGTCGAAGTCGGGCAGGTCGGCCACATTCTTACACGCCTCCATGTTCAGGTACTTGAATATATGGATCTTCCCCTTGATGCAGATCTGGAAGACAGGCAAAAATGCTACAGTGCACAGAATTTCAACAACTCAGTGGATAAAGGGGTTTGTCTGCGCAGTCGGTGTGTGTGTTACCTGTGCGGGGGGGCTCTGTAAGGGGTTGTTGTCTAGGACAATGCTCTGAAGGTGCCGTAGATTGCGGTAACACACTGGGATCGTTGTCACTTTGTTACAGGAGAAGTCTAGCCGCACCAGGGGAAGTTCAGCCAGCTCTGCACATACAACATCGGTAGATTACATCCAATGACACACTGCTGCACAACACATAACACTATTTTTCAGCATTCTACAGTGGTAAGTGGCAGCCTCCTGCACAGTGCAGGCATCCACAGTGGACAGTGGCAGCCTCCTGCGCACTGCAGGCATCCACAGTGGACAGTGGCAGCCTCCTGCGCACTGCAGGCATCCACAGTGGACAGTGGCAGCCTCCTGCGCAATGCAAGCATCCACAGTGCACTGGGAAAGCCTACGGTACAGTGCAATGGTCCACAATGCAGCTTTGAGATCTGACCTGGGGGTAGTCGTGCTAGGTGGTTCCTGCGAATGTTGAGGTCTCGTAATGACTCCAACTGTCCCATCTGAGAAGGCAGCATTTGGATCTCATTGCAGCTAACATCCTGAGAAAAAGACAAGGAAGAAAAGAGGAAGATCTGTAAATGACAGTGTGTATACAGGGCAGAATATACCATAGTGCAGTATTGCTAAGCCCACCAAACACTGATTCTTCATCTGCTGATTCACAAACATGTCACCACTATTCTCATACACAGATTGAGTTTCCATTCAAAGTTACTTACAATCATGTCTAAAGGAAGCAGTCAATGCAGATGAAAAACTCATAGACCTGCTTTACTTTGTGTTGAAAACACTATTTCAATCATCAAATGTGCTATGCCTATATATTAATGTATTCATAAACATGCAATATACAGTACATAAAAAGCGCAAACATTTATAGTCCGATGCCTTTAATAGTGCATTAAATATTTTCTGTCAGCAGAAAACTACAAGAAAACAATAAAAACAACTACACACCAGACCTCAAGAAACAGTAAGATTAAATTAGTATGTGCATTATTTATTTTCTTATACTGCATGAATATATTTCCCAAGAACTATTTTCTTTTTGTGCACTGTTACAGCACTAGGGAGAAGAATACCAAAATACCAAAATATTTCCTGTTTGAGTGTTTAACTTGTATTTCTGAGTCCCAGAACCTAACCCCCACTTTTATATTAATCTTTATAAACAAAAGAGATTTGTTATCCTTTGATTTGCTATATACTGCACTTGCATAGAATGCACCTCTTACCTTTATTACCTACCTTCATTTGGTCCTCACCAAGTTAAAACAGTAGATAAATCTAAGCTCAAGTGACCACAGAGGGTGTACTTTTTCACATCACTATATACTGTATACTTGGATACGACTTGGGTATGTGTACCAGTGTACAATGTAATACGGTATATACATCATAGTATAAGGTATAGTAGACAATGGCATAGTAAACAATAAATATAGGGTGTAATGCATTGAGTATACAGTGCAGTGTAGAAAGTAGCATACTGAAAACACAGTACAGTGAATAGCGAGCATACAGTCGAATGTGGAATCCTAAGTCTATAGTGCAGTGTAGAATAAATAAGTAGTGTGTTAAACAGCACATTGAAGACTCACTAGCTCTGTGAGCTGCCGCAGCTGCCCAATTTCCTCTGGCAGAGAGACTAGTTTGTTGTTACAGGCGATGAGGACCTTGAGGGGCAGACCGCACACCAGGGCTGGTAGTGTGGACAGCTGGTTACGACTGGGAGAAAGAGAGAGAGAGATAGAACAGGAGAGATAGTGGCTGATCCCACCTAACTCTGACATGACAGTGGTATCCTACCTGGTGCTGAGATGTGACTGGTATGTTACCAGATGCTGAGGAGTGATTAGTAACTCACAGGATGCTGAAATGTGATTGGCATCTTTGCTAATGCTGACATGTGATTGGTATGTTACCCTTATACTGAGGTGTGACTGGAGTGTTATCTTACACTCAAATGTGGCTGGTATGTTACCTAACTTTGAGGTGTAGTGTTACCTTACGAGGTGTGTTATCTGAAGCTGAGTGTGACTGGTATATTGCCTAAAGGGGAACTGCAGTCCCAATTTCTCAGATTGGTGATTAGATCTCTGTAACAAAATAAATAGAATATATATATAATTTATATAGAAAAACTTTATAAATTTAGAATTAAGCACAAAATCATGAACTTTGTGAAAGTATTGTAAATTGTCGTGTTGTTGCAAACCCCTGGTCTCACCACAGGCAAGAGCAAGAGATCCCTCAAATTGTGACATGATGCAGCCCTTCCTGGTCACTAGTCACTGTAATGACCAATGTAATGTGTTGTATGAGCGAATAAGTATAGGTTGTGCAGCAGAGGTGTCACTACACTGCAGAAATGTTCCAGTGTGATCTGCATGCAGAGTTAACAAGTAGTATTTGTCAGCAAAACAGTCTGGAAATCGAGAACAATATTTCTATTGGATTAAAAGAAATGTATTCATAAGCCTGTTTATTTACAGTGTTATTGGGCTTCATCACATCACCGGACGTTTTGTTGCCTTGTTTTGAATCACAAAACTTGATGTTGTGCAGGCCTGGAAATTTAGTCTATTTTGTGATTGAAATTGGAGTTTTTTACATGTTACTGTGTATTTTTTACCTATGGTTTGAAATGCACTCACCAATGCCGATTCTTTCTAACCCTGAAATATAAAAATAGCATTGCAATTCCCCTCTAAAGCTGATGGGCTGTAACAGTTATGTGAAGCTGGGGTGTGGCTGGAATATAACCCGAAGCTGGGGTGTGGCTGGCATATTATCTGCAGCTGAGTGTGGCTGGTATATTACCTGAAGCTGGGGTGTGGCTAAAGTGCTATCTGACACTGAGTGTGGCTGGCATGCTAACTGAAGCCAGAGTGTGGCTGGTATGCTAACTGAAGCCGGAGTGTGGCCTAAAAGTTCACCTGATGTTGAGGTAGGTGAGAGCCTGCAGGTTGAGCATGGTCTCAGGGAGGGTGCGGATGCAGTTTTGGTATAGGTTCAGGCTCTCCAATGAGACGAACAGGCACACCTCCACAGGAAGTTCTGACAGGCGGTTCCGCGACAGGTCTGCAAACAGGGACAGCGGTGAAATACACATTGCACATGCATTTCACATACTAACTAAATACAGCGGATAGTCGCGACTATCCGACATTCCGTTTTATCCGACACAGCCAATCACACAGTCGATCACCACAGTGTACAGTATATCAGTATACACTGTACACTATGCGTGCGCATGCATAATATTTTGCCCAACCTGATGCTGCTCTGTCTCTCCGTGCGTCACGTACTGCGGTTGACGTAACTTCGCGTGTTGATTTCGTGCTTGTGATTACCGTTTTTCCTATTGTATTTTCCTTTAATATAACTTTATGAAACTGAAGATGTGTCCCAGCGTGCACTGAGGGCTACTACCCTGGGGAAGCTGTAGGTCTGCCTCAGCAGATCTGTCGCAAATGTGAAGAGAATTGCTTGATTTGCCATGGTGCAGGACGAAACTGTACAAAATGTAGACATGGATATAGCCTCATCGGTGGCACATGTATAAACATGCATCATAACAAAGTTGAAGTCATGACAATGAAGTTGATGAAGATGACGATGCTGGGTCTGCACTTGGACTAGACAGATCTGAAAGAATCAGGCACAGCGAAGGGGTCAACGCTCTCTAAGTGGGACTAGCTTACATTGAGCAACAAGAGGAGGCAACTGCTACTGATGTCATGTTACTAACACGCTGGCGAGACCTTGCTGCAAGGAAGAGAAGCACATCTGAAACAGATCCCAATCGCTCATTTTTTAAATAATAACTAACAACAGCTCTGTACTCTGATATTTTAGTATTACAGTAGATTAATAAACCAAATTTCATACTTATACTGCGCTTCCATTAATCTATGATTTGTCTACTCAGTTTCCGCATTATCCAACATTTTCAATTAACCGCCATACTATCGGTCCTGTTTAGGTTGGATAATTGCGACTCCACTGTAATGTGAAATGCCTCGTACATACTAAATATAGATACCACTCATGAGAGTGCAATAACCCTACTGTATGTACGATAAACACACATTGTACTTCAATCTATCAAAGTTGTGTGTTAAAGACACTCCCCTAGTGGCTTTAAAATATAAACATCAGAAGCTTATGAACTGCAACAGAAGATCAAAATACCGATTTCATTGTAGTTCTTACACTGCTGTATTCAAAATCAAGCTTATAACTAGAGACATATTATTTATGAAACCCCTATTATTTGCATTTTTCTTTCTAAAACTAAAAACAAACTGATAATGTCCTAAACACATGTAAAACACCATAATTCAGAACAAACATACCTATACTGGCTGGCACTATGGCCAAGCACCATGACAAGCCAAAGAAGAAACTCAATAGTGTAACCAGCTAAGACACAACCTACGCATTTTTGTAGTGGGACAAACACAGAGTGACAGACTGACACATGGACATGCAAGAAAATGAAACATTTGCAGGCAGACTCAATTCTGTCAACACATGCACACACTCCCCCATGAGAACACTGTGGGCGTCTGTGCAACTGAATGCAGAACTAGAGAGACTGTGCTAACAGTGACTGCCGTGGGCTGCTGAGTGCCCAAGCACAGCCAGGCAACGCCCGCTATGGATTTCGGTGGATGTCTGTGTGCGTTTGAGTCAGTCTTGATGTTGGGTGAACACACCTGTACCCGTGTCTGTGTGTGTCACCCGGGGCTGCAAGAATGGCTGAGAGTGTGAATGTATGGTCTTGACATCTCATAAAAGTGAGACAGGATGCATCTAAAGGGCTTTTGCAGGAGGTGTTGTGTGAACAATACAATGCAGCATAATTGTGCACAATATTGTTGAACTATACACACATTAGCACTGCTGTGCTTGCTGATGGGTTTCCCTGCCTAGGTCTATATTTAACTGTGCAGCTGTGAGAGGGAAACAGGAAGAGTTGCTCTCAGCACAGGCTGCTTCCTCCTGCGAGTCATACAAGGACCAGAATCTTACTTCATTAGTAGACTGAGGACAGACTGCACTGAGACCAAGACACTGGGGATATGCAGAACTGAGACAGAGAGATGTCCACAGATTAGACAATGAAACTGACTTCATGTTTCATATCTCTCTGTCTGTCATTTATTAACTCCAATAACCCTACCCTGTCTTAATCAGGCAGGCACCTGAGATGGCCACCCTCCCTTCATCTATCTAACTTTAACCCTGCATTTTACAATCCCATCTCAGCCTCTTTATTTTTGCCTTGCTCAAGTGGGTAGTGTCTGTCATCCTATGCCATTTGCTCTTCTGTTCACAGCGAGAAGCGCTTACTATCAGAATCCTTCGATATCTGCCAATAAGATAACAGACCTATTACTGTGTATCCTTCAATGTTTCCGGGACAAAGTTAATCCACACAACACTATTGAGGGTAATACTCTGTGTCCATGATCAACTGTCTTACAGCTCTACACTTGCTGTCTGATGTGGTCCCTGTTGTACATCCCAGATTTTAAGGAATTATACCTCTCAGAAATATATATTGGCTGAGAACAAAATACCATAACAATGTAGTGACATTTTAATTTATGACTTTAAGGTTCAATTGTTTAAGCCTGTAAATATACCTGGGTGTCAGAAAAAGCTGAAGGCTGGTTTTCACCTGTACAGCCGATAGCATAGCCCAGATGTGTTAGGACTTGTAGCTGAAATATTCAGAAAATGTAGAAGTTTATGATTCTGCCCTTTTCATTCTTACAATGGAGCATACTAGAAGGGTACAAAGATTCGGATGAAAATTTCCAATACAGTGACTTGATACAATGACAGCACAATAATAATACGTAATATAAAAAATAGCTGATAAAAATGTAATGTTATAATCAAATAAGCTCTCCACCCTGCAGTCAGACTGGGAATATCACTAACAGAAGCCAAGGTCAGCTACAATTGACAACTATCTTTAGAGGGTGAGGGCTTATTACAGTATTTTGTGGTGTAGCCTGAATTACAAATGTTTTAAACATAGGAAGGCCTCTGCGCTTTATCTACACTGCAATGTATCTGCACTGTGTAAACACCTGCCCTGCGCTTCTTGGAAATCCTAATTGCGGACTCCATCCTTTTGTGGAGCCTGTCTCAATAAACGACAACCCTGCAAAATTCCAGGAACATCTAGTTCTCCTGCAACACTCCCGGGCCTGTGGTACAAACACCAGTCTTCAGCCTGATCCTCAGAATCAGACCCTGTCTGCTGTGCAAGACTGGGCTGGATCATATACAGAGGTGTCTGAGAGTTTCGTTCTTGGTGCCCTCACAGTTATTTGTCTCTGTATAAAGGCATCTATTTTAAAAAGGCTAGTTTCTACAACCGCGTGTGCACGTGTTTATATATATACACACATTGTGGGCTACGCGTACAAAAAATTTGTAACAAGATTTCAGCTCGCACCTGCTATTTTTAAGTACTGCATCAACTGTTAATATAAATGTTTTTCAAGTAGACTAGGACTAAGAAGCTGTTTCTACTTGAACAGTACTGCACACAGTAAATCCATAGACAAGTTTACCTTTCTAAACCTTTCCATTTTATAAAATAAAACATTTATTGATAAGCTAAATGTTATGAGCATTTCACATATCTCACTTGTAATTAGTCTTGAAGTACAACTATACTAGAGAGCCCTTGTAACACATGAAAAGTACACAATTCAGAATTAAGACGTTCAAAGATATTTTTTATAAGTTGAGACTTGAAATACGTTTATGGTAAATTGCATGATGCTGTCTAATCAGCTAACTTTAGGGAAGAAAATCAAGATACCAGCTAGACCTCAACAAATTATCCAAATGTACACACATTTGGATAATTTGCTGAGAAAGCACTGCAAAGAAAAGAAGTATCCCCATATGACCGATGGGTCAGTTTCTGTTACTCACAAAGTCAGCAACACTCCTCTGCCAGTTCACAATGTGCTTTGCTTTCTCTTCAGGAGATAAACCAAGCTACTGCACGTAGCACAGCAAGGAAGCTGCATGTTTCAAATGTGCTGCAAACGAGGGCAAAAAAATGAGATGAAACTGCTTACTCTATAAATCTTAATGTTGTGAGGGTGAATGAGCACTGCTGTTTGTTTTTACACAAGGATCCTAAATACCAGCACCTACCATTACATTTAGCTAGTACTTTTTAGGCAGCTGCTTTTCTGCTGTGAACTGAACACTATTTGAGCACTAAATCCAGCTAAAGACGATATTTAAAGTCTAAATCCATTTGAACACTAAATCCAGCTAAAGACGATATTTAAAGTCTGGTTTAAATGCTACCCGACTCTTGGGACTCCTAAATAAAAAAATGTTGTTCCCCAAAGTTCTTTCCTGGGCACTACTGGCTCTTTCATTACATGTTCCCTAGGCCCTCAAATGTACGTTCAACACCTTTTTATGCGAATATTATTTGGATGAACCTTAAATTGTCCTCTGTTTTCCATCCACCAGGACTCCTGTATCCGCCTCTAACTCTGCCTGTGTCACAGTCATCCCCTCCTGGATACACTCTTATCATCATAAAATCATCCTCACGAAGTCTCATCTTCTTTTCTTCCCTTGCTCTTCTTCCCCATGAAAAACTCTCCAAATCTCTGCTGGACTACACCACTGTCTCGTCCCCCTCATTCCCTGTCAAGAGCCCCAGTGTTAACTCTTGACCTCTGCCTCCCTTCACCCAACACACATCCTCTCTGGCACACTCCTGCCACTCCTTCGTGAGCACCACCCTCAGATCCCTGCTTTCCTCCCCAACTACAGAACTCCTTGTCCAGGTGCAGGTACTCTCCTGCCTGGATTACTGTGGCTCCCTCTTAATCTCTCTCTCCCTGCCAACACAATCCACAGTCTTCATCTTGCCTTCTTTTCTCTCCACTGCTCCCATGGTTCTCCACTGCTCCAGTACTCCCATTGTCTCCCAATCGCTGGACACATCTGACTGAAAAACCCTAGTCCCCGACTACCAGCATCTCAACCACTCTACTTCGGACTGTCATCTCTCCCTCCAC